CAGGGAAGTCCACATTTGTGATGTGAATATCCTTAAACAAGTCTGCCAGGGTTGGGAAGTAGTTCCAGAACCTGTTGCCAGATGGTGCAATGTTGAAAGTATTCGAGATGCATTTCAGGAACTGACAACATCACAGAAAAGTGATAGGAATGTTCTTCAGATGAGACATTGAGAAACTTGAAGAATGGTCTTTTACCTTCTAGTCATATGCCTGCCTTAGGAGCTCAGCTTGCCTCTCTCAATGGCAAGCTCAAAGACACAGAGACATGTTTACTTTTTGAATGATTGTGTATAGTGAGTGACAGGTATATTTTTGCATCAAATTTGTATGGATCTGACTGCATGAATGAAACAGAGTGGACAAGTTATCAAGATTGGCATGATTGGATGAATAACCAGTTTGGCCAAAGCCTTGAACTAGGTGGAATCATTGGTCTTTGAGTCACTCCAGAGAAATGCTTGATTTATGGGGAAGAAATGAAGAATAAGGTATTCCTCTGGAGCACTTAGAGAAGCTTTACTATACGCATGGAAGCAGCAGAGAACACTGAAAACCAATTGGGATCTATAAGAAATGCCTGTCTTGGTGCTGGACATTAAAGAAGACTTCAAATACAAACACGACAGTCTAGTTGAAAAGGTCAAAGAACTTTTGAGCACTTTGTGATCTTGCTGATGATGACAGGCAGAAAAATGATTCAGCTTTGTGTATCTTTGCAGCTTCACATTCCTATAAGTCTCTTTAGAAAATCCATGTTTTTAACCACTTTGATCCAAGAAAAAAAGTTTTTTGATGGATCCTATATAAAAGTTTATGACGTTTCTTTCCTTTTTGTCTTTCTTTTCTTTTTGATTAAACAAACAAACAAACAAACAAACAAGCCCTGACTGGTGTATCTCAGTGGGGTGAGTGCCGGCCTGCAAACAGAAAGGTCACCAGTTCAATTCCCAGTCAGGGCACATGCCTGGGTTTCAGGCCTGGTCCCCAGTAGGGGGCACACTGGAGGCAACCACACATTGATGTTTCTCTCTCCTCCCTCCCTTCCCCTCTCTCTAAAAATAAATAAAATATTAAAAAACAAAAACAAAGATGTTTATTTCTCATGACAAGAAGTTGGAAGGTAGATGGTTCCAGAATCAGTACCGTGGCTAAACTGTATCATAAAGGACCCGCCCTCCTTCTGTCTTTTCCCTCAGTTCTCCTCCTCAGTAGGCTAGCTTTTCTTCCTGGTGCTTCTCACCTCATTGGTGACCCATTTCTTAACGGGAAACTTTAATGTCATATAGTAAATGGTACTGTGTCCTGTGTCAATTAGTGCAAAAAGTTGAAAGTGGAATTTAAGGAATCTCTAGAAAAAGAATTAAGTTTTATTTTAAGTACTTTAGTATTCCCCTTTCACCCCAATTTATGTGAAAGATGAGACCAAGTTTAGTATTCCATCATTTCGTTGATGTTTATTAGTGTGTCTGTAACACATTTAATGAGGTTAGACTTCGTTCCCAGTTTGTAATGGCGTAACCTATATGTCATTTACTCTTTCTCCTGCTTTGGTTTCTACATTTGTGCCATGGGTTAGATTTCATCTTTTTGCATGGGGGTTTGGATGAATAAAGAGGAAATGCTTATGTACTTAAGAGATAAATGGGGGTTATTACATTCATAAAATTTCATTTATATGGAGCTTAAAATATTGGCCTGCTCTCTCCCTTTTTAGGCCGTTCTTTCAGAATGGGATGTCACCATTCTCATTCAAAGATTGGTCTAAACTAAGGTTGCTTTAAACTATATAGTTAGATTATTGGTTTAAAAGATTGTCTTTAAATCATTTGAGGTGGAAGTATAGTTTTTCCCTATATTTCTTCTCATTTTTATAGGTAAAGCATTCCTGAAACATGGTGAGGGATCCGTTTTTCCATTTTGTCCTTCATTGATTCTGCACTGGGAATGAGTGGTCTTTCATTACCTTTGTATGTCCATACACTTACATGGTAAGAAGTCAAAGAGAAACTGAAGACAAGGTAGATTATCTTCTTAGCCGAGCCTGCATAAAACAATGGCACTGTGCCATGGCTGGTGAAGCTCAGTGGATTGAGCGTGGGCTGGGAACCAAAGGGTCACCAGTTCCATTCCCAGTCAGGGCACATGCCTGGGTTGTGGGCCAGGTCCCCAGTGGGAGTCACGTGACAGGCAACCACACACGGGTGTTTCTCTCCTTCTCTTTCTCCTTCCCTTCCCCTCTCTCTAAAAGTAAATAAATAAAAGTTTTTAAAAAACAAAACAAACAAACACAAAAAAGCAATGGCACTCAATTTTTTCTTTTGGAGAATATACCTTTAGTATAAAATGTGTCGATGAGTTTCTTATTGTTATTTTAAATGGAATTACTATATTTTTCAGACCATAAGACACATCTAGGTTTTAGAGGAAAATAGGAAAAATTTTTTGAAGCAAAAAATGTAAAATATTTAATAACATAAATAACATACTATTTCACCAATGGAAATGTAAACAGAACTCAACAGCAGCATTACCAACCATTATTCCTCCCAAATTTGGGGGTGGGGTGGGAAAGGGGGCATCTTATAGTCCCAAAATACATAAGCTTTTTGCAGTTTCCAATAATTTTTAAGAGTATGAAAGGGTTCTGAGACCAAAAAGTTTGAGAACTGATGCTTTAGTTTAGGGACTTTCATGTACCCACTCAACTCACTAGAATCTGGCTTCTCCTCCCAAGAGTCCCCTAATGTCCCTGGCAAAGATTACTAATGATCTTCTTGTTCCTAAAACCTTCAGCTCCTTTCCTAGACCTTATTTCCATGATCCTCCCCATTGCTTAGCCATATTGCCTGTCCTCCTCATTAACATTTATTTTTATTTTGTAACCACCTAAGTGGGGCACCTTGAATAAACTTGACAACTTTTATCCCACCCCCACACCTGGTATAGTCACCTGAGCCCTGAAGATTCTTTCAAGTGTGTCTCCCACTTGCCTTTTTATTCTAACCACCACCATCCTGAGACCCTTCTTTTTTCACTTGATCATTATAAAAAAATGTCTTACTGGCCTTTGTGTCTCACGATCCTTTGCCAACAGATTCTGCATACATAAGTGTGATCTGGTCATTTACCTGCTGATAAAACTTTCAGTTAGCTGCCAGAATAAAGGTTCCAGTACTGACATGGCTCTCCATGACTGATTCCAGCCTACCTTGCAGCTGGATCTCCTTAGTTTGGGTAGAGATCTACCCAAACTCTCCAACCAGTGTTTCTTGCAGTGTGGCGTGGGCTGGCCTCATCATTATCTGGAAAGCTGGTTAAAACCCAACCCCAGACCTATGGAATCAGAAGTGGAGCCCGGGGCATCTGCACACCTAACAAGGCAAAGCTAAAATTCGAGGCCCGCTGCCCTACTCTCCAGTGAGACTGAGCCTCTCAGCAACCCCACAGACACACCCTACACTCTGGTCTCTGCCTTTGCAATCCTGCCTCCTCCATATGCCTCTCCTTATCTTTGGATGTGAATTTTAATCCTTCCTTCGAAGCCCGCCCTGCTCAATTGCTGTACCTTTCTGAAGTCTTCAGTGATTACTCTAGTTGGAAGTGATGTCTTCCCTCTGACCCCTAGAGTATTGCTTGCTACACGTTTGCTTGTCGCTTGCAGATTCTGATAGTTATTTACAGAGATCTTACCTCCCTAATGTCCTGGATGTTGGGACAGAGAGAAGCCTTAGGAGGCCCACATGCTTGACCCTGCAAACCACAGTTGCACGAGGAACACTGGTTTCATGAATGTGGAGTGAGGACAGGGATCTGAGTGAGGATGGCAGTGGGAATGGGGGAAAAAGGATGAGTGTTGAAGACCCTGAAAACAGCTGGTGGGAATGTTCAGAGACCGATTAAATTTGCAGTGTGGGTGGTAGGAGGAAGAATCAGTGATTTAAATTTTTTTAACACTGGGTATCCAAGGGGATGGTGGCCCATTGATAGGAATTCGAGGGTGGGGGGGGGCAATTGGGGTTTTGTCTGTGGAGGTAATCTCATTTTTTGGCCACTCAGCCACTGAACTCCTTTCCCCATGTTTGGGGGAATCTGACATGTTGTGGATTTTGGTGGCAGGTGAGAATCTGCTTCCCACTGCAGATGATTTGAAGGTCAGATATTGCCTCTGATTGCTGTGAACTGTGCAGTGTGACCTAAACTCGGGCGTTATCAGACTTGAAACCTGGAGCGAGTGACGTGAAGCAGCAGGGACTGTTTAGGCTCTGTCCTCGGGCCCGCGTCACCCAGTGCCCCCTCCCGGGGTGCTGCCCGCCTGCCCCTGGTTGCTGGCCATCTTCTCTTGGTTCTCTGGTCTCCCCAGCAACTCTGTGGGTTGCCTGACTTCCTTGCAGTAAACTCCTTCTCTACTTAAGTAGCCAGAATTGGTTTCAGATTCTTGTAACTGACAACCCAGGCCAGTGCGAGGCCCACCTGAACCGAGTTCGCCTCAGGTGGTTGAATTTCTCCGCTCCCTTTAGATGAGCTCAGTTGTGCTCCTGTTTCCGACGGACAGAACCCTGAGAGGGAGGGAGATTCCCGGGTCACCTGCTCCCACTCGCCAGGCCCCAGGACCCCACAGCACCCACAGGTACCGCTGCCTGGCCAACTCCAGGGACCAGCAGCTCCTTTCTTTACTGGGTGACAACTCCGTTGTTAGAAAGTTTTTGGTATCTCTCACTTCCAGCTCTTTCAATGGAAAACTGTACTATTTTGTATCATATTTAAGTTTTTTCATGCCTTTTGAAAGTGCAGGTACTAAGTAAGTAAAAATGACACTGACTCGGGAGGTGATGCGGGGCGTCTCAGGGAAAGCGAGCCTGTGGCCCAGGTGAGAGAGGGCACGCAGGTTCTTTTTTTAAAAATTTATTTTCATTGTTGTTCAAGTACAGTTTTCTGCCTTTTACTCCCATCTCGGGCCCCCCAGTGCTCCCTCCCTCCCGTTTCCACCCCCTTAGTTTTTGTTCCTGTGTCCTTTATTCTTGTTCCTGTAAACCCTTCCTCCTTTCCCCTGAAATTCCCTCTCCTCTCCCCTCTGGACACTACAGGTTCTTGAGCTGATAATAATGGTTGAAAGCAATGGCCTCTCTGGAAAAGAGGGGAAAAAACAAACACTGCAAAACAGTTTACAGAAAAATGCAAACTAAGCACTGAGGGGCCATAAAGCGTCAGCAACGGGGTCAGAGTAAGGGCAAGGGTGAGGATTGGGTGAGAGTGAGAGATGAGATCGGGCTGAGGAACAGGGGAAAGCCAGGGATGACCTGAAGGTCATCTGGCAGATGACCTGGCCTTTGTGACAGGCTTTTCCAAATGGCTGCATTAACATCTGCATCACACAGGGCAGTCCTCAACCAGAAGCCACTGAGGAAGGGCAGGGAAGAGCATTCAGAAAGTAATATGATTAGAGCCACTAGGGCCGGAGGGTGAGGGTGAGAGAGTTTCAGAAAGATAAGGGTGTTTGGCGGGGCCAAGGGTCTGCAAAAAGCCAGGAGAAGGGGAGGAGATAAGGCTGTTGGATCTACTAAGGTCGGGCCTGGGGACTCGAGATTTGGGACCTGAGTAAGTCACAGGAGCTATAGGGGAAGGAGGGATGGTGGGTGAGGCAGCAAGGAAGCCTGGAGCGCTGTGGGTGAGTGAAGAGGGCGTTGGGCAGCCCGATGGATTAAGATAGAACGGAGCCCCTGGAGGAGCAGAGGTTGAAGATGTGGGCGAGAGCGGTTTGGAGAGGACAGGAGAACCTCAGCAGCCATTCGTAGGAGATGGGTTTGAGATACAGAAAGAAGGCAGGGCGAGACCGAGGGGAGGAGAGCTCAGATAAAAGACACGCTGCAGCAGAGAGGGGAGGGAGAGCGGACAAAGCAAGTGTTGCTTTCTCAACTGCGAGTGAACCCGAGCGGTCTTTAGGATATCCAGGACACACGGATCAAACGTTTTCGGCTGACACCGTGACTTCCCCTGGAAAGCCTGAAAAAACGTTGGCCCCAATGTTTCAAAAGGAAGTTAGGGAATTTTATAAAGAGAAGGGAGTGATCTGATGCAAATATGCACATCTAGGATTTAGAAGTCCTGGGTCCTGCCTCCACTTCTTCTCTGGCTGTGCTGGGGGTGTGGCCTCACAAGGCTAATTGGATTGGGGTTTTGTGTAGTTTGGGGAACTAACAGAGAAGGTAATGTTGTTTTTGTCAGTACAGGCACCAGCGGCCAGAAACAAAGAGAATGCAGAGTGTGTGTGCGGCAGGGGCAGTTAAAGTAATCAAATAATCCACAGTGATTGCCATCGGCCCTTGGAATGCATCTCAACATTCTCTTTCAAAAAGGGTGAGTTATGACTTGAGAATTTACTTCTCACCCCATCACCAAACGGTGCAGGGAAGATTCAGCTGTGAAGGGGTTTCCTGGCCCCATCCCTGCAAACTCTGTCTATAACCAGCTGTCCAGGAATTGAGCAGCTGAGGAGTAAGCTATCCAGGGCATTTTTTACAGGGAGTTAGGGGTGGCCCTGGCTGGCGGGGCTCAGTGGTTCAAGTGCCGCCGGCCTGTGAGCCAAAGGGTTGCTGGTCTGATTCCCAGTCAGGGCACATGCCTGGGTTGCAGGCCAGGTCCCCAGTAGGGGGCGCATGAGAGGCAACCACATACTGTCCGTCTCTCCTTCCCTTCCCCCTCTATAAAAAATAAAATCTTTTAAAAAAATAAAGGGAGTTAGCGGTAGATGAATGTTAGGGTTAGTTTTTGAATTTTAATTTGGGTCTTTATGATTAGTTACTGTGACACATATATCTATTTTCTAAAATTTGCATTTCTCCCCCTGTGGTTTCCTGTGGCTTAAGTTGGTCTCTATACTGGATGCAAACCAGCGCGATAAAGCAGATAAAGAGGAAGAGGGAACCTGATCCTGTTTGGCCTTGGGGGCTCCAGGATCGGGGTACCATGGGGAAGTGTCTTTCTTGCCTCCTAGGATCTGGATCAAAGGCAAAAAGTGAATTGACTTAAAAAATTGTTAGACACCCATGTGCACCACACATGCAACTTGCCTCTTAGAACCGAGGGCTGCACAGCACCCCTCCCCCCGTCCCCTCCCCTCCTGACTCTCGGACTTTTACCGCATCTTTCCTCTGGGGAGTCATTAGAGAACTTGCATTCAGAAGGCTTTTTCTGGAGCCCTGCCCTGCACGGTCCGTAGGGCATCCCAACCCCGGTGAGAACAAGAGTGGGGCAGTTTGAGACTTAGTCGAGAAGAAAATTAGTCCCAGAAGAGCTGAAAGAGAGCAGATAAACCCCCAGAGCATAAAGCTGGGGCCTGCATGGGTGAAGCTTCCAATTCTCAGGTCCCACCTGGGGCAGGGTCCAGGGAACCGTAAATTCGACACCTTATGTGAGCAGGCCAGCTTGAGGCAGTGAACTAGTTCTTTCTCATTCTTACAGATGAGGGAACCAAGGCTCAGCAAGGGTACCTAAGACACACGGGGAACTTGGGGGCAGGAATGGGACCAGAGCCCAGCATCCTGACTGCCTGTGGCTCGCCTCCCCTTGAAGCGCACAGGCGCTGTGTGTGACACCCTCGTGCGCCGAGGCCTGCTTTTCAATGGACCCCAATGTGTCGTTAGTACTCAGTCCACACACTTGCCAGAGTTAATTCCTATCTTCTCCTTGCCTCCTCCTGACTCCCCTGTTTTCTCTGGATGCCCTGAACCACTATGCAAATAAACTTGTTTTTCTCAATATTTGTGCAAGTCTAGAGACATGAAACTCAAAGATTGCCTCATCACAAGGCTGCCTTAGCAGAGATCTGTATCTTGTTTGTTTGCCGAGAGGACAGACGCACTTGGAAATCCTCGGCGTCGCTCTGGAGTAGGTGGAGGGAGGAGGCTGCTGCTTCTCAGCAGCCAGTGGCCGACATCCAAGGTCCCAGGACATGCTCAGAGCAGACAGTGCAGTTCAGGTTTGTGGCAGTGTGGTGGGGGCCTGACTCAGACCAGGACAGAACTTTCACCTTCATGTGTCCTCTGGTTGTCAGGCCACCCCAAGTGGCGGCCAGATTGCTTAAGAGAGACTAAAACAGAATGCACGCTGCAAGCCCGTCACAGGTGTTTTACAGCAAGACATGGCTCTCCCCCATGGCAGTGGGGCTTCTCAGGCGTCTTTATGGCAAGGAAACGTAACTTCACGGGCAGGGAGCACATTCAGTTCATCTAGGGTTTACTGTGACCAAACACTGCGGCTTGGCAAAGCCGCAGGACAGCTTCCCCGGGCCTCACACTGTGGAACTGTGTTTCCCTCCACTCTTGCTGGGTATGAGGGGCCCACGTGTTCCCTGTGGTTGGACCAACTCAGCTCTGTCTCTCTCCTAGCCTCTGCCATTCTGGATGTTCCTTCCACAGGGCTGAATGGACCTTGACCCCTGGACACTGGTCCTGAGCCCACCAGTTTTCTCAATCCCAGGCCTTCCTGAAACAATGAAGGCAGCCCCGGCCTGACATTCACAGGGACCCCAATCAGACTGGGCACCGTGCCCACAGAAGCAGCTCGTCTGGTGCACAGGAGGGCATATGACTCACTATGTGAGCCTCCCATGTATGCAGCTTAAGGCCCCGCTTGGTCACTGCTGGTGAGGCAGAGGGGACAGATGTCCTGGCGCACTGTGCTGGGTGTCTGTAGCAGAATGCAAGAACACAAAGTGGCAGAGGAAGCCTGTGGGGCTGAAGAGCACGTAACTTGCTGAAAAGCAAAGCATTTCCTTGGTGCACACCTCCACGTGGGAGAAGCCCACACCACGTGTGGATGGAGGGACATGCAGAGAACTCCAGATACCACATGTTCTGGGCAGGCCCCAGCAGAGAGTTCCTGTCACACAACCTTGCTTCCTGTGCCTCTGAGGCCACAGTCCCCAGGGTGCCAGGGAGAGGAGGGCTGTCTAAATGGGTCCCCACTGTTGGAGGCAACCGCCTTTTCCACTTACTTCAAACTCAGAAGGCAGAACACACCCCGGAAAGCTCTGAAGTTTTGTGATGATTCTCAGGCATCTGGGGGGTTGTCAGCCCCCATGGCTGCTGTCCTTGAAAGTGGCAATGGGAGCGCCCCTTTCCAACTCCGAGGCTTGAACCTGTGGCCCAGGATGCTTTGGCTGGTTGTCATAAAGTCAGGAGGAAACGGGAAAGGTCCAATTTAAAAGCTCGAATACAGTTTGCCGAAAACGTGTGTATGTGTGTGCCTTCCAGAGAGTGTGCTCCCTGAGAGACTTGCGCAGTTCATTCTAACATAAACAGGAACCAGAGGTAATGGCTTCACTCAGTGGAAAACTAGCAGCATCCTTTTGCTCCCTGGGCATCCCCCGGGGTCCTCATCAGGCAGCCGCTCCCCGGGCGGGAGGGGTGTGCCTGGTCAGCGCGGCTATAACTCATCCATCATGGCCAGCAAATCGTCTCCCTTGCTGGCGCTCCATTTTGGCTGGTCCGTGACCTCAAACTCCCCCATGATCCGGGCCAGCTCTTGGTTCCTCTGCTGGTCCTGTCAGAGAAATGAGAGATGCTGTTGATATTTGATTTTTTTAAAAAAATCCTCACCTGAGGATATTATGTTTTATTGATTCTTTTTTGAGAGAGAGAGAGAGAGAGAGAGAGACCCCTCGATCCCTCCACGTGAAAGAGAAACATTGACTGGCCTCCTCCTGGGGATTGAACCCACAACATTTCGGTGTACAGGACGATGCTCCAGCTGAGTGGTCTTCATCCCACCAGCGTGATGCATTTCAGTGCCTCACCTGTTTGTCAGAATGGGGACTGTATACATACCGACTGGAGAGGAGAAGGTAGGGCCTTTGAAGTTCAAAGTTATTTCAAGATGAGGAGGGGAAACCATTTGGCTGTGGAATCCCCTGCACACACCTGAGTAGCTTGGATGTTGACGACTTCGTGGGGCAACTCTTCCGGCCCGGTCAGCGCCGCCTGTCTGCATGGGAGGGCAGGGCAGAGAAACGGGTCAGAAGTCAGAGGTTTCTCCCTGCCCGTGTGGCAAACTGGCGCTTGATAATTGGGCAACCTACTTTTTTCTGCCTCATCTGCCATTTCCCTTCAGCTTTAGCACTCCATATCTCCAACCAATGTCTCCTACACTTCAGAAAGTTACGTCCTTTTGTGTCTTGTGCCTTTGCACGCACTAAACACTGCCAAGAACGTTTTCCCCCTTCCTCTGCTTGGCAAACTCCAAGACCCAGCTCGGATGCCAAATCTTTCAATCTGCCAGTGCATGTAATCACCGCATCCTCCATTAGCGCATTTGTGACGCGGCGCTTATGTGCACGTTCACTGTCCTTACCAGCCAGGGAGCTCCCGAGAATAGGCGCTAGGTCACACGCTCCATCTCGGTGTCCCCAGCACTCACCATAGAATCGATCGCACAGAAGAAGTTAGTTCAGTGGGTAGGGAAATAGAAGGCAACTCCCCGCCCCAAATATTTGGCTGTGAGGAGGATCACATAAGATAGCGAACGCAGATGCACTCTGTGAGCTGTGGGGCGCCGTGCACTTGACCTCTCTCTGGTTTCTTAGCAGACTTTTCTTAATCTGACTGTCTTGACTTCTGATACTTCTTGTTCAGCTGTGCTAAGTGAAACGTTAGAACTGTTTTTTGAATTAACCCAGAAAGTTCAGGCTATCTAATACTGGTAGATTCTTTTTTAGTTAGGTTATTGAATTTGCAGGTATGTCATTTGTGATCTTGACATCTGGATTTATAGGTGTCACTGGTTTATAGTGGTCAGTTGCTTGGTTTAACACACTTAGGATTTTAATATACGCTTTTAAAGAAACAGACTTAAAACATACTCCTCCTCTTCATCGGTGGTAAAGAGATTCAACCGGAACCCTGGCTCAGGGCCACTGGGTTTCTTAATCTCCATTCCTCCCATCAGCTTGGCCAAGAAGTTCAGCTCTTCTTTAGCAAGAGGGTTTGGAGCAATGCTTTGCTGTGGAAAAAAAGTTCGTGATTTTTAGCCACATGAAGGTGATCATATTTCCTGTGGAGACCCAGAGACCCAAGGGCGGTATTATAAAACAAGGCAAAATAATAACATTAAATTATTTCTGGGAAGAACTAGGTCCAAACACAGCACAGAAAACAGCCTTAACTAAAAGAAAAACAATCTGTGTCAGAAGCAGAGGGACTCTAGCAAGGGGGTAAACCAGAGATTTTCACACTTGCAAGATGAGTGGGAGGCCCCACGGGTGCCCACTGTCCTCAAACTACCTTCCTTCTTGAAGGAGAAGAGCATTGCTTCCTCTTCCTTCAGATTGCTTCCCCAAAACTGAGGGTTCCAGGTCCAAGGGGCACTGGGTCCATAGGAGCTACCACACTGCCCTCAGGTGGTGACCATGGGGAACACACCCTGACTCCATTCCCTCCTCTAGCTATCTTGCGGGCTTAACCAACCTTACCCGCTTCAAACGGACTCTCTCACTCAGCCTTCCCCTGCTCTGCCTCTGCTCTCACTCTGCTGCCAGAGTTGCCTAAAATACAGTTCCCATCCCACTTCTACTTTGCTTGAAATAAACCCTTCCGCCTTCTGCTTAAAGGACAGAGTCCAAACTGTTTAAGCCCGTTCTTGATCAGGCCCCAGGGTCCCTGGGCAGTGCTCTCTGGACACCCACCTCAGTTGGGCCATGATGGAGTCGCATGGGAGAGATGCTGGCTCCCTGCTTCCCCCAAACACTGTGCTCTCCTGTCCTCTGTGCCTTTGCCCAAACTGTCACCTCAGCCTGCAGGCCGATGTCTCCTTCACCGATGTCTCTTGTCCACTCTAGAACTCCACCTGAACGTCACCTCCTCTGAAAAGCCTTCCTGACCTCTGTGCCCTGCCCCTGCCCACTGGACAGAACACGTGTTCTCCTGGCACAGCACCTCATTCAGAATGCCAGGAGAGCTCTGCGTCCACCGTGTTAAAGTGCCTGCTTCTGTCTCTGTCTCTCCCAGAGTTTTATATGTCCCTTCAGGATGTGAGCACGTCTAAGCCAGCTTTGTGTCCCTGGGCACCCAGCCCATAGAAATAGTTTGACGAATGTTTGCTGAGTAACTGACTATTCCATGATTTGTCCTGTAGCTAGCTGGTAGCCAGGTCAGTGAACATTTGTAAAGATGGAATTCAGAGACCCTCAACCCCCCCCTTCGAACTCAGGCATCACGTAGGGAAGCACGAAAAAGGGACGTTTTAATGATCGGGACACACAGGTGTGGAGTCCGCAAACTGGGACCTAATGGCACTGGGAGAGTGCTTATTTCCCATGTCCTGGTGTGCGGTTCCCATTTAATTATGGTGATTGAGCCAAGCCTAAAATTACCTAATTAGTCAGATCACTGGAGGTCTCCATGGGAAACTACAATTAAAAACCTGTGTGCTTTATAAGGCCGAATCGAGAAGATTGCAGACGAGGAAGGAAATGTTGGCTGGCTTTGAAATCTAGAGTTCCCACCCTTCTCCACATCCAGATTTTTATATCTGGAAATAAGCTCAGGCGATAAATAAGGGAAGCAGAAGCTCACCTGTGTCTGCGAAGCTAAGTTCTTTGATGCTCCAGACGTGTGGGTTTCCACAGGCCGGTTCGCACTGTACCTGGTTGCCAACAGAAAACTGTGAAAACATTGTCCAGCCGTTACTGACTCCCTTCTAACCCTAAACACAGCTCACAGCTTTTTTTTGTGTGTGTGTGTGGGTCTTCTGGTAAAGACGGGAAGACCTACTAGACAAATTCAAGATGAGCTGTAAGCTCTACTGTAGCTCACAGCTTTTATTGGGAGAGTTTAAAAGCATCCAGAAAAATAGCTAGGAATACAGAATACAACAAAGTGCTTGTCGGCCACTCAAATTTCACTTCTTCCCAAAGAAAAATACCTGGGAAGCTGTGTGGAAGTGGCTTTTTTGACTCTCCATGGCCAAGTCAAATGATTTACTTTTTTAACATGTTGAGTTACTTATGTTTGCAAGTCTTAGGCGCCTTTTGGAAACCACAGGGCGCTGCATGCATTGTATCTGAGGGGAACCACTCCAGTTCTCAGCAGGATGTTCACAGCAGAAGTCAAGCTGGTGTTTTCAAATGAAGCGATCCCTCTGGGACTGGAATTCACTCAGGGAGGGAGAATTTGCTTACATGTTAGTTCCCAGTTTCAGCACTCGGTCTCCGTACAGTTCAAAAGAGCCTTCCTTCAGTGCGGCGACATAGTTACCCCCGTGCCGGAATTCTGTCCTCTTCACCTCTTCGCCTTTGTGGTTGAACATTCTACAACACAAAATGTGACAGGAAGGGATGTTCTCCAAGCTTGGGAAGTCCCGGAGGCATCTTTACTCTTTGTACTGTGGGACAACAAGGAATTCATGTGCTCTCTCAAGAGAAAGATGCCAATTGTGCTCATAATAATGGTACAATGATATGTATTGGATACATGTTATGTGCCAGGTGCTGTGTAAGTACTTGAGAGCATTATTATTCACCCGTAGGTTTGGGAAAACCAAACGATGAGCCCTTTTAATTGATGAGGAAGTGCGTGCTGGAGAACTGGGCGGTCCCCTGTGAGTGTCTACTAAGCAGCAGGGCTGGGATAAACCTGACCTTCTAACTGCTGAGCTTACTGAGGAAAGGAAGGCCCACTGTGTGGCGTCCTGCGTGGTGGCCCACATGTTGGTCTCCCAGAACCCCACACACGGGTCTGGCAATTATTGCCGAGAACTCACCTGATGAGCCCGGGGACTTCAGTTTCCCAGGGAACAGGCCCAGACACTGGCAGCACAAAGCGACCATTAGAATTCTGAACCTTGTCCTTCAGAAATATGGACACCTGGAAAAAAAACACTTATTGTGATTTTTCTCTGTGTATTTTCATAGACATAAGCATTGTGAGGATGGGGAGTGTGTAATGGGCTGGGAATGTTACCTCGTGAGCTTATAACGATAAGAAAAACTTACCACAGCTAACTAACACCTGGAGAGTTATAGCATTTTTATAAATAGAACTCCTTTTGGGCCTAAGGGCAAATCTTCTAGGTGAGGTGTAATGCCCCCGTTTGAAAGGTGAGAAAGCCGATAAGGGTCACAGAGTAAAGTGGCCCAAAGAGAACAATAAAACAGTAAGAGACAGAGCCAGGATTCAACACCCAGGCTGACTCCACATTTCACACTCATGCCTGGGCTCCCTGCTAACTTCCCGAGAACCTCGTTATCTCCATTTTTACAGACGAGGCTTTGGCAGCTCGGAGGCTGACGCTCCCTCAAGGCCAGTCAGCTCATAAAGGGCAGAGCTGAGGGTTCAGAGCGACCCCTGTGTTTCTGACTCTGGAGCACAAACTCTGCGCACGCGCTGGGCTGGTGCGAAGGGGCCGGAGTAGGTGAACCCGGCTGGCAATTGTTTGAAGGTCTGTTACGTGACTGAGGCTTCTTTCCGTTTCTGCGTTTGTGTGCTCAGTGTTGAGGTCTTGGTCAGATTAAATCCCATAACTACTGCAGCAGTTAGCTGGTTCTGTTGGGTCTCAGCTTCCTCACCTGTCGAATGAGATTCACTTGAAAGTCCCTTCAAACTCTAATATTCTACAAGAGTATATATGTAATATTGTCAAGGACGTTGTGTGCCAGGCAGTGAAAATGCAAAGTGTAAAGAATTGCAAGCTGCCAGCCTCAGCTCTGGGCTTTTGGTAAGTTATACAACCTTTCTGTGCATCAAGTTTCTTTCTGGTAAACTGGGGGTAGTAATAGTACCTATTCAATGGGTTAATGTGCTAACTAAATCAGATAATGAACCAAAAGCATTTATCAAAGAGTCTGACACATAGTAAGTGTTCAATAAATTACAGCGGATACTCTTAGTATTGTAATCCAATGGACACACGACATAAGCACATGATAGGAAAGAAACGCCACGATGGAGCCTTTAGGAGGCGACTCTGGAGGAGCTCTGTAGGGCTGAACGGGGTTGGAAACAGAGAAGGTTTTAAGTAACTGCCCAGGATTCCAAGCGGAATTGGTTCTGGGTAGTCTCTGGCTGGGCCTGGAGAGCAGGCCAGGGCCTCGGCCACGTGAGAGCACTTTGGGCGTTTGGTGATTCACAGAAGGTCGTGGACATCGGAGGAGGGTTCTGGTTCAGCGATGAGCAAGGCAACGTTAGAGCAGAGCTTTTGTCCATTAGTTAGTTGGTTTTGCTAACAAATCTAAAAACTATCAACACTTTGTTGAAAACGGAGAGAATCTGTATAGGCAATCACGAATTGCAGCCAGGCAGAAATACCATTAAAGACCAGACTTGCAAAACCAGCCAAATGTTACAAATCAGGGGCTGAACCCTGCAGGGCGTGGGAATCCTATTTCTCCTGATGAACATTCTGGTGTTTCACTGCTTGCCCATTTAGCAATCAAAGCTTAATAGATTTTGTAGTTTAATATATTTTAATGGTTTTGTTATAGACTTCTTATTAGTGTTTTTTCATTATAATCAATTTTATCTCGTCAGACTTGAGAAATCAGTATGGCTACTTATGTTACTACACCTCATACAATAATGTCCAAATGTACAGTCTTGACAACGTGATGTAGAGTTTTCACTATTTTACAGCAGTGCAAAACTTAATCTGATTGATACCTTCATACTTTTTGTTCTAATCAAAGACTATTAGAGACCTTAATTTATATTGAGGTTATTATTGCTCCATGCACAGAAAATATAATTATTCATGAGGTTGAAAAATAAAAATTGGCCTCAGAGTTGAAATCTGTTTATCTTCCCCAGTCCATGGAAAGCTAATAACAACCAGGGGCTAGATACATTCTATTTCTTCTATTGTTTGAATTGTATTTTGTGACAGGTACAAAACTCAAAGGGCTCAAAGGGTATACAATGGGACGTAAGTCTCTCCTGTACCATGGTCCCCCATGTACCTGCTCCTGCTCCTAGGGGTGACCACTGGGACCAGTTGCGTGTGTAGGCTTGCAGAAGCACCCCCACTGCGCCTGTGCCGGCACACACTTATACATTACCTGTGCTGTACCAGTCCGTCCCCACGACAAGCTCTAAGTGCTTATGATCATCGCTTTCCAGACACTACAGCTCAAGAGAAGTAACCCGCCCAATGCCATGGAGCGGTGCTGACTCAAACGCAAGAGCGTCTGACCCCAGCGCCTGGGCTCATTTTGCCATATCGTCCATCTTTCCCACATCAGTGTGTTCAATTATGGGAAGGAACAAAGTCCTGTCTGAGAGAGATAGGCCCACATTCAGCAGCTCAGAAATACGCTTTTAAAAGTTTGGGGGCAGAACTGTCTGGAGCAGAAGAGGCAAGGTCAGTTGGGAGGCAGCGGCCAACAAGAGGTGTGAGGGCCCGAGCTGGGCTGGTGGCGGTGGGAGTGGGAAGAGGGCATGGGCGTCACAAAGGCAGACTCTGGGGGCCTTAGAAGCAATGGGATGAAGATCGGTGAAGGGGACTCGTAGGCGATGCTCTGGTCTGAGCCAAGTGAATGAAGGTGCCTTGAAAGAAATCAGAAAGTTGAGGCAGGACTTGAATTTTGGAGATTAGTTTAGGTACAGACATTACATCGTAGGCACTGAGTTTCAGGTGGGGATGTTGGTCTAGATGGCAGGGCTGAGGCAGCGGGAGGGCAGAGGTTAGACTCTGGAGGGCCAGGTGAAAGGGCTGGACAGTGGGAGGGAAGCGATTCCTGAGGGATGTGGCTAGGTGGGGGCAGAAGGAGGTGTGGAGACAGGCAGAGGGGGAGGAAGGAGTGAGGGGCATGGGGACAGGCGAGGTGAGGGCAGGCCAGGACACACGGTGCCACGGAAGTCCAGGGAAGGCAAGAGCTTCATGGGGAAGAGGGCAGCCTCCTAAAGGTGTAGATACTGGAGAGGTCAACGATACTAAAGGTCTGGGAAAAGGCTTTGCAACTGAGATCAGGCTGGTGGCCTCGAGAGCACATCTCCTCCGGGGAAGGGAAGAAACCACAGTTTAAAGAAACATGTAAGGTAACTGAGAAGGAGTAACAGTTTCATTGTCTTCCTTGCTCCATCTAAAAACTGCAGAGATTTGTTATCAGAAAGTTTTTTTTCCCTTTTTAAAAAGATTTTATTTATTTATTTTTAGAGAGAGGGTAAGGGAGAGAGAAAGAGAGGGAGAGAAACATCAATGTGTGGTTGCCTCTTGTATGCCCCCTACTGGGGAACTGGCCTACAACCCAGGCATGTGCCCTGACCGGGAATCGAACTGATGACCCTTTGATTCGCAGGCCCTTGCTCAATCCACTCAGCTACACCAGCCAGGGCTGTTATCAGAAAGTTTATCATCATGGAGACAAGCACGGAGGACATCACTCACTGGGCAGTCTCGGCTGTTTCCCGTGGACAGCCGCGGCAGGGTGCTCCCGCGGCTGCCCACTCACTTACCCGGATGTGCAGGTCCTGGAAGAAGGTGAGGAGCGTCTGCCGGATCAGCTGGAACTCCCCCGCAGAGAGACCGCCGTACACCTGCCACAGGCAAAGCAGAAGCGTTTCACTTTCAGAAGTGAAACAGGAGTGCAGACAAGGAGGGGCAGCTGGGCGGTCAGGGATGGGAGGCACAAGCAGGGCCAAGAAGACTCAGCTGCTGGGGCAATAGGGGCAGCAGGAGAGCCAGCGCTGCTCTCTCACAAACCCCGTTATTGCCACACAGAGAAGGGGTGCACCAGCTCTCCTGTCGCCCACAGACCCTAGAGGTTCTTCCCCAAGATTTAGCAGAACCTCCATAGCAACCCCCTTTCCAAAAAAGGTAGGAGAAAATGGCTGGGCTCTGTATCACTGCTTTCCCAGTTTTGAAGGCAACAGGAAGAGGTCAAAAGATGATGATGCCTCTTGTAACACCAGAATGGATACTTGGAGATCTTTAGGGTTTCTGGGAGCCTGGCAGGCTCTGCCATTCCCCGTCCTGTGCTCTGTCACGGCATCTTCCTGCTCTTAGCAGAGCAACTAGAACAAGTACTGAGGTGAGAAATGGACGGTATCTTACTTCGATCAGCTGCCGGGAAGTCTCATCCACTAGGTGCACGAGGGCTGGATTGTCTCGGATGAATCCCTTGATGGCATCTAAATGATTGAAAGTGACCAGCAACACGTCCTTGGGACGGGGACACAGCAATACTTGATATTTCAAAGCCATAGTCATCAGGTCATAGAGCTGCCGACCCGTCCATGAACAAAATAAATAAATGGGATCACAGAAGCAGATGTCAGGACCTCCAAACAATGAAGCAGTCAAGCATTTACTGAAAACCAGTACTGCGCGTATCATATACCTCGGGTGACCGTAATGGTTACCCCTCAGACCGAGATACTTTTAAGAGTAAACTGGGGGAGGCGGTATTAATAATTCAGCCAGGACAACATGGTGAGACTAGGACATTCCTGGGCAAGCCAGGATTTCTGGCCAGCTTTTTGTGGGTGGGACATGTGAGTAACAATACTGGCAGCCGTGGGGCCCTGGGCCCGGTGCTGGAGTCGAAGAGCTGAAACCCACAGCCACGCCCTCCATCACCACTGAGGAGCTGAATGGCCCCGGCCAAGGCCTTGCTCGGCTCTCTGAGCCTGAGCTTCTCATCGGTAAAAACAATCTTGAACGCAGCTGAAGAAGTGCTCGGAGGGGACTTTACAGTGGCAGATGCCTGCATGTGTCCAATCAACAACCTAACCTTTCACCTTAAGAAGCTAGGGAAAAAAAAAAAGCCTGGTCAGTGTGGCTCAGTGGGTGGGGCATCGTCCCACAGACCAAAAAATGTCACCGATTTGATTCCTGGTCAGGGCACATGCCTGGGTTTGGGTTCAGTCACCAGTTGGGGCACATGCAAGGAGCAACTGGTCACTGTTTTCTCTCTCTCTGGAATCAATAAATATATATTTTTTAAAAAAAGAAGCTAGGAAAAGAAGATCAAACTAAAGTCAAACCAAGGAGAAGAAAGAAAATAAAGTTTAGAGCAGACACCAATGAACTAGAAAGTTGAAAACTAGATAAAAATCAATGAAACCAAAAGCTGGTTCTTTGAAAAGATCAGCAAGCCTTTAGCTAGATCACTGACAATTATTTATTTAGATTGACCAAGCAAATAAGAGAGAAAAAGAAAATGACTAAAATCAGCAATAAAACAGAGGACATCACTATTGACTGGTGGAAATGTTCTCCAATTATGCAGTGGTGATGGTTATAAACATTATGAATGCACCAAAAACCACCGAACTGTACCCTGTAAAATGGTGAAATTTACTTTATGTGAATTATATTTTAATTGAAAAATTGCAAAAGGATATCATAAAACTAGCTGTGGAAATGACATTAAAGAATAAAGAGATTTTTTAAGGATAAAAAAACAAAAAGTTTCAAATTTCCCTCAAAAAAATGAGGAGAGGCTTAGGAACCTCCAGGACATCTTTAAACGTTCCAACATCCGAATTATAGGGGTACCAGAAGGGGAAGAGGAAGAACAACAAGTAAAAAACTTATTTGAACAAATAATAAAGGAGAATTTCCCCAATCTGGCAAAGGAAATAGACTTCCAGGAAATCCAGGAAGCTCAGAGAGTCCCAAAGAAGTTGGACCCAAGAAGGAACACACCAAGGAACATCATCATTACATTAGCCAAGATTAAAATGAAGGAGAGAATTCTAGAAGCATCAAGAGATAAGGGGATAGTCACCTACAAAGGAGTTCCCATCAGACTGTCAGCTGATTTCTCAAAAGAGACCTTACAGGCAAGAAGGGGCTGGAAAGAATTATTCCAAGTCATGAAATCCAAAGACCTACAACCAAGATTGCTCTATCCAGCAAAGCCTTCATTTAGAATGGAAGGGCAGATAAAGTGCTTCTCAGATAAGATCAAATTCAAGGAGTTCATCATCACCAAGCCCTTATTATAGGAATGTTAAAGGGACTTACCCAAGAAAAAGAAGATAAAAAAATATGAACAGTGAAAGGACAGCAAACTCACAGTTATTAACAACCACACCTAAAACAAAAGCAAACTAAGAGGACAGCTAGATCAGGAGTGAACCATAGAAATGAAGATCACACGGAGGGTTAGCAACAGGGGAGTGGGAGAAGGAGAAGGGGGGAGAAGGTACAGAAAATAAGTAGCATAGACGGTAGATAGAAAATAGATAGGGGGGCAAGAATAGTATGGGAAATACAGAATCTAAAGGACTTGAGACATGTGTTCATGAACTAAAGGGGGGGAATGGAGGGGGAGGGGTGTGCAGGGTGGAGGGGAATGAAGGGGGGAAATAGAACAAATGTAATGGCACAATCAATTAAAAAATAACTTAAAAAAAAAAAAGAACAATTTTAAATGATAAAAATATGTCCTGGCTGGTGTGGCTCAGTGGGTTGGGTGTTGCCCTGCAAACTGAAAGGTGGTGGATTCAATTCCTGGTCAGGGTACATGCCTGGGTTGCAGACCAGATCCCTGGTTGGGGGCCTGTGAGAGTCAACCAGTCGATGTTTCTCTTCCTCTCTTTCTCCCTCCCCCCAAAAAAAATAAATAAATAAAATCTTTTTCTTAAACATTACATTAAAAAATATTTTTATTTATTTATCTTTAGAGGGGAAGGGAAAGAGAGAGGGAGAGAAATATCAACCTATGGTTGCCTCTCGTGTGTCCCCTGCTAGGAACTGGCCTGCAACCCAGGCATGTGCCCTGACTGGGAATCAAACTGTGGTTGTTTGGTTCGCAGGCCCGAGCTCAATCCAATGAGCTACACCAGCCAGGGCTAAATAAATAAAATCTTTAGAAAATGATAAAAAATACTTAGTAGGATATCAATCAACAAACCCCATGTATGGTATGACCAGCTATAAAGACTAGAAATTGGTGGGGCCGAAAGTGGTCGAGATAGGCTTTATGAGTGAAGAAGGCAGGCAGAGGCTTCCCACTGGCTGCGGGAGAGGAAGGGCATTCCAGCTGCGGAACGGCACCTGGGAGGGCCCGCAGGCAGCCACGGTGCGCTCTTTTCCTGGGAGAACGAGAACAGCGGAACTGGAGAGGACAGTTCGTGTCGGGAGGGGGGTGGTGGGAAAGGAAGTTGAGTAAGAATGGCTAAGTTAGAATAGTAAAGGTTTTAAAAAGATGGGCAAAATAATTTAGATTAGAGGTGGTGGGAGTGGGAGGCTACTGAAGTCTTCTGAGCCAACGCGATAAAAGTGGTGATTAAGCAAGATTGGTCTGGCAACATGCGGTGTGAGAGAAGGGAGACACCGGAGTTGGGGAGGTTGGCTAGGACCCGGCTCCTTGTGGGTTTGCAGTAATACCTGCTGACTGTGTGAATGAAAGAAATTTTGTTGGAGTAATCCAGGCTCAGGGCCTGGAATGAAGACGGTGGGAATGGAAAAGGCGGAGCAGAGCACGTGGCACCTAGAAGGAAAAGCTGTCTGCATGTGGGGACTGCCTGACCACATTGGGGGGGCGAGGAGAGGGCTGTCCAGAGTGACTACGGCATTTTCGATTTAGTGCCTGGGAGAAGGACGATGCTACTGCTGGAGGCAGGGGGACAGGGGACAGAGGGCCAGACTGGGAGGGAAGTTACGGGTTCATCTGTGGCGGGATGGGAAATATAAACCGCTCCCACCTGAGTGTTGTGCTGAGCGCTGAGCACATTGATACATCATTGCTCCCATTTAACCTTCACAAGAACTCTACAAGGTAGTTATTGTCCCAAGTGTAAAAACAAAATGCCTACTTTCATATAGTTGGTCGTTAAGTGGCAGGTTGAGATTTGAACTCAGGATGATCAGACACTGAGGCTTTTGCTAGACCTTTCTGCATAATCCCATTTCTCCAACATGCAGCTAAACATTTCACCTGGTAAGTGGCATCCGACAGGAGCCGCCTGGTGTGTGGGGGTAACACTGGAGGCATCGGTTTGAGACCCTCTGCCACCATCACCGAATATGAAGTCCCTGTCACATACAGGACACCGTGCTAGGGTGAAAGAGGTATAAGATGGAGAAGTAGAAGTTTAGATTTGGTCAGCAAGTGGAGCTGCACAGTTAGTATTTATTTGGTAAAGCTGAGATTTCTGTCCAGGTTTTTTTTTTTTTTTTAACTCTAAATTCTATGTACCTTCTCTACGACACCTAAACCTTCTTAAAGGCAGAGGGAGCCGAGCAAGCAGAGCAGAAAAGGTGATTAACATTTTATTGAACACCTACTATGTGCCAGGCCTAGGTTTGTCACGACACGTTTCTCACTCAAGCCTCCCAGCACTGATGAATTAGCTCTTTGTCATCTCCAAAGGCAAGTGGCAGGGGTAAGAGGGCACAGTCAAAGGCAGCCTGTCTCCGCGAGGTTCCAGATGCGGCAGTAAGTGAATGTTGACTTTGCTTGGCTAGCACCCACCGTCAGTCTGCATGATTTTATGTATTTATCTATTTACTATCCTCACCCGAGCACATTTTTCATTGCTTTTAGAGAGGAAGGGGGAGAGAGAGAGAAAGAGAGAGACTGAGATCGAGATCAGTGTGAGAGAGAAACATCGGCTGGCTGCCTCCGGTAGGCGCCATAAATGGAGATTGAACCCACAAGCTAGGCATGTGCCCTGACTGGGAATTGAACCCACAGCCTTTTGGTGTATGGGAAGATGCTCCAACCAACTGGGCCACACCCACTGGGACATGCTGTCCTTTCCTGAGAACAGAGTATCTATATAAATGGTTCGGAATTTTTCTGAATAAGAGATCTGTCTATGCTTTGCAATTTATTTGGAATTATTATTTAAAAAATCAGAGAGCCCTAATAGTTTGTTTTTCAAAGAGATAGATATGTTCATGTTAGAAGTAAAGACTGAGAAGTCTTGAATTTGCTTTAAAAAATCCCTGGTTGTCAGGTCTGAGATCTGTCAAGAATGAAGCAGAATTCAAGTTTTTAGGGTTGGGTTAAGGCATTTATGAACATGGGCATGAAGACCAGCATTGTCTCTGGGCAGGTGGGACGACTCCTGAGGTCCTTTCCAACTCTGAAACTCGACAACTAATGTTTATGAGGCTATTTTCTTTGCAAGGCAGCATGACATACATCTTCTCCTTTGATTCCTGTCTACCACCATCCACAAAAGGCACGAGAAATGCAATGAAGGGGGGAGAGGCAGCCGTCTGCTCACCTTGTCCATGCTGGCCTGGTTCAGTCTCATAATGGAGGCATGAGCCAGGCGGTCGTAGATGGTCCTTAGGGCCTTCTTGGAGTAGAGCTCTTGGGGTTTGAACAGTTCCTCTATAAAGTTTTTATTGAACATGGTTAAGACGATGTCGTGAAGAACTGTAGAGACAAGAGGGAATGCAGCTAAGCCAGGCACCGGAGGAAGCTTTGCTCAGGAAACGCTGTGTACGAACAGGGTGGAGGAGCTGGGCCTGGGCAGCGGGGGTGCTGACGTGCTTGGGGAGAAACCGCACCGTGCTGCGGTCGACCTCGGGGTCCAGAGTGCTTTGTGAGGCCCCCTCGGGGCAAACACAAATGTGACAATGTACAGTGTGCCGTGCCTCACAGGCCACAAGCCACCTTTATGTGCACTGGCTCACCCGATGAAAGGGGAGGTGCTGCTTCTCCCGTTAAAACAATGTTCCCAGAAACATGTTAGATTAGATCGTTTCCTTAACATGAGAGATAGCAGCACTCTTATTTGTTTAGCAAACTCATAACATCTTTACTTAAAATTAAATTTTATAAAAATGGGACCAGGAATGGTAATTGACTTTTTTTTTTTTTGGCAAAACAGTTTATGAAAATAGACAAGTTTACTCAGTGGTTAGAGAGTAAAACATTTCTAATGTTCCTACTCGATGTGTACTTCAGATTAGTACCATTTTAGGATGACTTAATTTTTGGATTTGATTTATAATATTGATATTTCACTATAGTGCTACCTCTTATATTGTTGTTCAGATGGAAAACTTTCATCCAGTGAGGATAAAGGCCCTAAGCCACAGGTGACGAACACAAGGCTGGGAGCTGAATCCAGCCCTCTATCTTGTTTCTGCCCAGCCGCAGCCCCAAGCTCCTTTGCCCCTAGTTAAGAAGTAGTCACATGTATACAGTCCTAAAGTTACATTCGGCCCTTTGAAGGCAACCGCCAGGCTGAGGTGGCCCCCGGTGAAAATGAGTCTGACACCTGTCCTGAGGTGTGTGCAGACAGGTGTGTCTGTAATTCTAGTTCTTCATTCACTCATTCATATAGACAGTTTTTGCTACACAAATATTATTAGTTGAGGGCTAGAAAATCCCTCTGGTACAGGAAACAGAAGCAAGGATGGCTGAACACAGATTATTCTTAATTAAACCAAATCTATTCTTGCCTAAAGGTGAGAGCTTATGGATACTGAGAATATACATTCATAGTAATTAAAATTTGAAAGTAAGCTGGTTACTTAAGTTACACACAATCAATTATTAAACATGAGTAATTATTGCTGAAAGATACAAATGCCTCTTTCTTTTGACACACAAAGGACACAGCAGGTGTGGCTGTGGCCACATATCTTAGAGGGAGAAGGCAAGGCGGAGCGCCGAGGCCATGGTTTCAGGCACTTTCTGCACCTTTAAGCAATTGATAGGAGTGCCCTGAAGGCCCAGGTCAGCATTTTAAAGCAGCTCAAAGGGCATTTTGTGGGGAGGCGGCAGGGAAGCTCAGGGCTGGTTATATTTAAATCTTAATTTTTTTATTTTTGAATTTATTGGGCTGATATTGGTTAATAAAATTATATAGGTTTCAGGTGTACAATCCTATAAGTATTTAAATCTTAAATGGAAGGGCTACAGAGAGAAGTGGGGGGAAGAAACCTCCCCCCAGCAACTTGCCTCTAATGAGCTAATGGACACCCCTTACAGAAGTGATGAACTCACACTTGACCTTTGGATTTCATTCTGGACTCCTTCCAATTAGTGAGGAAGAACCAATTCCATGACCAGTGCAGGGTTTCCCTCACATCTGACCTCAATGCGTCGCAGCTTGCCCTCAGTGTACACTACCATGTCCCCAGCGTGCACAGCTTGGAGACATACTTCCTCGGGCTGGCCTCAGGCATGGCCTTTTGCCTTCGATCTAAACCATCAAGGACCTGCAGTAAACTGGGTTCTTTAGCAGAATGAAATGCAGAATTTTCAAGGAAATAGGCACAACTGAAAAGCCACATGTAAGGCTTCAAGAGAGAGAATTTGAATTTTCCACAGGTTTATTATGTAGCCAGGGAGGAGGAATTCAGGTTAAAGAATCACATCAGCTCTGATTACGTGAATGCTTGCCAATATCTGCCATTCACCCAGGTGCTGAGAGCTTTTTCTCGGGTCTTTCAGCCCTTGGCAGAATGAAGGAAAGTGGCTTAGACCCCAACAAATCAGTTCTAGAAGAAAGAAAGTCACAAGGAGACTGTTAGCCGCTCCGGCAAAGGAAAAAGCAAACTGGAACCTTTCCCTCTGGGGAGTGAACAAGCCATGTGTCTCCGTGGCTCTTCGCACACAAACACCCAGAAAGTCCCCTGGGTGGACAGAGGGTAGAGCAGGCCCTGACTCTGGGGGCTGGGCAGTGACCACAAATACCCCCCAGGAGACAGTGGCAGTTCTACGGTTGGGCCCCAGTACCCAGGGTCTTTCCTCTCACATAACCCTTTGGAAGGAATCTGGGGCACAAATGAACATGCCTGCGCCTCACAGCATGTTTCACCTTGCACTTGGATGTGGTGGGCCCAGTATGCGCCAGGCACTGAGATAAGCACTAGGGCACAAAGAGGAAGGGCATGCCTTTGCTCCAGAGAAGTGGGCCAGGTCACAGGTAAGTTAAACCTGAGAAAGAGGTTTAACCACGCCTGTCAGGCTACCTCAGTGAGCTGTGGGCACTCAGGGGAGCTTTGTGTAACTGCACAAGGCAGGAATGTACTGGGAGCCAGGTGTCGTCAGAAGGAGACGAAGGGCGGGGAGTGCTTTTCCACAGGTGCATCTTGAGTTCAGATTATGAAGTTAGTTTCTGTTCACTATTTTTGAATGCTTAAGTTAAAATAAATTCAAGTGATCAATTAGGTACACAAGAAACTTAAAAAATCCACACTTCTGACCTGAAATTCTGCCTCATGTTCAGAGGTGGGCCCAAAATTGCTTACGAGAAGTGGCCAAAGGTGGTTGTGAAATATAATAAAGTGATCAAGCACTTTAATTCGGCTTTGCTTTGAGCCTGGCCCGATGAAATGATGCTCTTGAATGCAACTGAGCATTTACTAAGCCATCGTTGTAAATTTGGTTATGGGAACATGCAATTTGGAACTAAGGGTCAAAGAGAGAAGCTGCTACCTCTGGAGGGCTACCATGTTTCACATCCTCGCTATGTTCCAGGTACCGGGCTTAGAGCCGTCCATGCACGATCCCATTTAGCTTTCCCCCTCACAGGGCAATTCTGAATTATTATCCTTATTCTATCAAGGAGGAAAATGGACTCTTCGAGAGGCTCAAGTCTAAGGGCACACGGCTAGGGGTAGTGTTGAAATGAGAAGGAGGCTGTTTGATTCTACTGCCTGTGCTCTTCAGTATTACATGTATTCCCCCCTCAGCACGCTTGGGGTGGTGAGACATTCCAAATGCTGAGGATGATGGCTGATGACATGCATAAACTGCACCCGAACGTCACGTGATGGAAAGTACTGGGGACACTTAAAGATGAGAAAGGCTGCAGTTTTACTCTGAGGAACCAGCAGCCTCTCCAGGCTTGCTGCAGCGGTAGGTGAAGGGGAAGCTGAAGACTGGACGTGAGAGGGCTGCTCGACGTACATGCGTGACGCCATGCCTCCTGCCCTCCGCCCTGGCAGCCATGCAGACACATGCTTCCGTTTTTCTCAGCTGTGCAACGGCCATCTCTCTGTGCTAAGGAAACCGGCTCAAGGAAGGTCCCTCGTGTGGAGCCGCAATTCTTTGGTTATGGTTACATGGTACTCTCAGAGAGTTGCTTGAGGGACTACGAAATCGGACGACCTACCCAGAAGTGTGGCTGCTGCCCCAGCCGTCCCCACAAAGCTTAGAAGTGATGGAGAGAGGGGAAGGAGTCCCTCCAGTGCAATAAGGTCATTGTGCCTAAGTTCGCTTGCGTCTCGTCTCACATGCTGCATTTACATGAAAGATTCAAATATACAACCCATGTCCTGGCTAAAGAGAAACTCATGCCTATACATATTTTTTTGCTGTAAAATATTTAGCGTGGCCCCACTTCGCGTGCCCGTGGTAAAGGTCTCAAGGGAGCCTGTGGATGCAGACTGAACACATGCAGCCCGGAGACGGCGTACCTCGGTTTCTGTCCACCTCTGTCCATTCATCTACACGAAGCATACAAAGAGAAAACACCAGTTCATGAAGCAGAAACGTCATTTTCAAGGAGGCTTTAAAAATACCAATTCCGATGACCTGGCCTATGAAACTTCTATTTTTTGTGTCTGCATTAACGTCTAACGTGAATACCCTGCTTTCCATGTGAGACTTTTAAAAGGATGATGGATAACAAGTTCCAAAAGCGCCCCAGAGTGGTTCTATCCTATGGCATGAGTGGCCTAGGAGGAAAGGAACCTCAGAGTGGCCCACTGCTCCGGGGCGAGCCTCGAAAGGTTCCGGAAGTCCTCCTGTGTTATGTTGCGAGAATGCATGTTACTCAAAACAAGGCTTTTAAAAAACACTAACTTCTACAAGGAATGATCATTTCAAGAAAGGCAGACAAGGGAGTTTCTTTGCGTGTAACCTGATTTCTTACAAAACTGATGTAAGATTTCCCTCTCTAGAGTACAGATGAAACCGCTCAAATGAGAAAACGTCAGATGCGAGTTAAAACGAAAAGTGCCCGTTCACTTCTGGTTTCCTTTTTAGACACTGATGTGTGACTTGCAGGTAATAGAGGAGACTCATGACGGAGCCACTGTAAAGAAAACTCCCGCGGACAAAAGCAGTTGGCGGATTTCCAGAGGAAACCAGAGCAGGAGCAATGTGTTCGGCGAGAGAAATCTGTGGGAATCAAGACTCTCGATGGGTTGAGACCTGGCTCTACCACTTATTAGCTATGTAACTGCAAGCAACTTGTTTACCCTCAGTCTCTTCATCTGTAAAATGGGGTTCATCATCAAACCGAGCTCGTAGGGTTGTAGCGGGGATGGAATGTGAAACATCAGCACTAGGCTGCCTTCTCTCCAGGTTCTGCTCCCTCTACTGAAGGACACTGGACACCACCCACACAGGATGCAAGATAGCTTTTTTCTTCTTTCCTTATTTTTTCGGGAGACTTCAATCTGGAAAAACCACTCCCAGATAAACACGGTTCCATGTACATCCCAATTAAAAAAACCATTTTGTCATTAATGGTGTCCCTTGGAAAATTTGCTACCAGATTGCTTCAAAGGTGATCTCTGCAGTTATAATCAAAGCATACATGTCTCCAAGAACAATACCAAGGGCTCCTGAGAGACCAATCTGGAAGCACAGCCAGTGCTGAGCCCCAGCTGGCTGCAAAGGGTTCCCATTGCCAAGGTCAGACTCCTTTGGGAAAATTCACTGTCTTTCTCCCAGAAGAGTCACAGGGATTTGGAGAGAAAACAGTAAGGAAGCAGCACCAAGAGTCGGGCTTTCTTAAAGCAGATGCTGGTTTCTGTAGCACAATGTCCACATCTTCTGTCTTGTGGCATTTATTTATAGGTGGGCTTGCCTAACGGGCTTGTGGGAATTCAGGAGGGTGCAGTTCCCGCCCGCTGGAAGGCATGTTTGGGGACAGCAGTGCTGCAAGCGGGGGTCCAACCTACTCTAAGGGACAGTGACTGCTGAGAAAACAGCTGGCAAATGCGTTCCCCGGGGTAGGAGGCACATCGGCAGACGATGAAGCAGAGGCCTCTGCCGTGCTGTGTGCTCCTGGGCCCTTTCCACTTGAGGATTCAGGGGAAGGGGAATGATGCACCATTTTTCTATTATTATTTTCTATTATTTCTATGCACCATTTTCCAGATGACTTGTTTGTGAGAATTCCACTTCGGTTATATTGTGCATGGCAGGCATGCCCAAGGTTACGCAGAGCTGCCTGTTCCATTGAAGTTAGAAAAATAAAAACAGAACCTCGCCGCCATTTGGTTGTTCAGAACTACACCGTGATCTTCACGTATTGGAAAAAAAAAAATCACTGAATGGCTCCATGCCTCAGTTTCCCCTCCTATAAAATGAGGCGTGCAGACAAAATGTAACAGTCTTATTTAGGAGCATTTTTAAGAGGACAGGAGTGAGGTGAAGGCAGGTTTTATTATTCTCACTGCTGCTTAAAATGCGGAACAACATTCAATATGCAACATTGAGAAGTTGCTCCATCCAGAGGGAGCTTCCTTTCTGTTGAAGGCAGGACCGGAGGCTGTGCTGGGGGGGAAGCTGCATTATTGGCCCGGCCTCCTGGGAGCAGGACGGCCTCCAGGACAGCAATGAGTTGTGTAAGATAATGAAACCATCTGGAAGAAAAGCGGTTTTCATTCAGAGCTTCCATGGAGACCAGTTTCCTCCGGCGTTTTCTAGGTCTCTGTGACCAGGTGTTTGTCACAGTGGCTCCTGCTTCCTGTGGCTACCCCGACTCCAGATGGGGGTGCAGCCTTTCTCTGCTTTGAATCCTGCACTCACAACCCTGCCTTTTCACTCTGTCTTCTGTAAGTCCCCACCTGCCAACCATGGTACTTTCTGTCATTTCTTTACAAAAACTCATTGGGTATGCTGGGTATTTTTCTCAAACCTCTCCCTCTCCTCCCAACCTTCCGACTGCCACACAGGTTCTGGTGCAGCGCCACCCCCCCCCCCCGGGGGGGGGATGGCAGTGCAGTGGCTAAGGACATATTACTGAAGAGCATGAGCTCTGGAGCCCAATGATCTTGGTTCAAATATGTAATCCTGGGAAAATTGGCCTTAGTTTCCCCATCTGTGAAATGGGGACAGTAGTATCACCTACGTGATAGGACAGCTGTGGGGTAAAGGTGTTCTGGGAAGTCCTTGGTTCCTTCTAAGTGCTTAATAAACGTCGTTGTCATCATTAGAAAAGAAACATGTCCTCCAATTTCAGAATCAGTTACTGGACCAGACCTACCAAAAGCCCTGCTTGCAGGGAATGTGCGGAAGGGCTGGATGATGTTCTACCCAGCATCTCACACGTCTCCTGCCACTCCTCCCAACTGCGGGAGGAGCGAGTGTGTGAGTGTGGTTACCGAAGACGGTTGGATCTAGCAAACCCTGAAGGACTGCAGCTGCTGGAGGCAAAGGAAGCCAGTCCCTTAACATGACTCCTAGGGTCCTGCCCAGACCTCCTCTTGAAAGACAACATCTATACTCATTGTGCTAAATATGTTAAATATACACATTATCTCATTCATTCCTTACAACGTTGATATATGGGATGTATTATTCCCATTTTATGGAAAAAGAAACAGGCTCATAGAGCTTACACTGTATTCAATGGTAAACCTGAAGTTGAGACGGAGTTTGTATGACTCTGGTTTGTACTGCCTTCCAAGAGGCAGACTACCCATCCGAGAACTACCTGTTGGCTCACTAACGCCGTCAGCCCAAATGCAATCACACAACAAAGGCACCAAGGAAAACATAACCCTGTTGAAGAAGAAATGGCAATGTCACAGAAAACAGCGAATTTAGATCTGCAGGCCAGCATTTACTGGGCACCACTTTGTTCTGGTCTAGGTATTACGCTAGGTGCTGGACTACAATGACGAGTAAGATGGTCCTGTGGGAGAGACATGCACAGACCATTACAGGCTGATGCGGTTAGTGATAAGGTAGAGAGGTGTGCATGGGCGCCGTGAGAGTATGTGCGGGCCCTTTCCCCATGTGGGAGGCTTCCTGAAGGAAAGGAATCTTCAGCTGAATTATGCAGCATCAAAGGGGAGTTACTAGCACGGAAATGGGAGGTTCGGGGTAGAATAGGCATGGAAATAGGAATGAACATGCTTTCATTGGAGACCCACAAACAGTTTGGTATTAAGATGCAAAGCAGGAGGCACGCAGTGGCAGAAGGCAGGACTACAGAGATGGACACCAATCAGATCAGAAGGCCATGATGTGTCCTGCCAGGGACTTGCTCTCCACCCAGACAATAATGGAAAGCTGAAAAACGGTTTTAAGTAGCAGAGGATAAGGACAGATGTGCATTTTACAGCGCTCACTGGTAGCAGTGCAGAGAATGAATGGAGGGGAGGGTGTATGCTATGGGGAGTTCTTTTTATCCTTTTATGAATGGACCTGGACTCAGTTACACAGACACAATGGTGAGTATCTGAATGTGTATGCTTCACGTCAACTGAGTACACAATGACTGCTGGAGAGAACCCACGTTTTAATCAGTGGCCGCGCCAGCCTCGTTCGCATCACCTTTCTTCCTCTGCCCCAAAGTACAATACTTAGTCCCAGGAAAGCTGGTGAAAGCAGTCGTTGATTGACAAGGGAATAAAAGCAGGAGAAAAAGAGGGTGACAGAGAGTTCTGGGTGGTCACTTCTCTGGAGATTAGGTGGTGTGTGTAGGAGGACAGATGTTACATTTTAGAAACTCTCATTTAATTATTTCCACACCTATACTCTCTTCCAACAATTGTGAAGGGAAAGAATTATAGTTATATATTTATCTATGTTATCTCAGGACCTCACCTTTCTAGAAATAGCTTCTGAAATTAGTGAGACTGGCTTCCAGTTTATGACGGAGGATACTGCACAGAGGACTGGAGAACTGGAACCTGGTCCATGGGGTCGGGGAGGGAAGGAGCCCAGCTGGACTAGCAAAGAATGTGTCGCCAGGTGGTGGGCAGCTGAGCTCCCTACGTTTGGGAGGAACCGGTTGTCAAGGGAGATTCGGAAATCACCTCACCAATTTGAGGGGGATGAGGAAATTGGGGGAGAGGAGCTGAGGTACTGTAATGATATTCGACAAGGTTATTAAATACCTCTGCTGTGAAAAGAGCTTTTGGGAAATCTGATTCCCGAGGGGCTCTGAATGGTTGTGAGAAAGATCTCTGGCTATAGAAAGCGAGGTGCGCAGGAGCGTTGTAAGGTCAGTCTGTACCGGGGTGGACTGTGGGGCATGGGGCTGGCTGCGAAGGCCGGGCATCTCTCACCTCTGCGAGCCTTGTCTCCCGGGATGTTCTGGGCCCGCAGCCGCTGGTCCAGGATGTAAAGCATCTCCCCGCCCAAGTTCAAGAAAAGCAGCGGTAGCGTCCGCATCGACATGACGATGAAAGATAGCAGAGCTGATGAAGTGACCCGAGGCTAGGTAGCCAGAGACCTGGAGGCCCTACCACCGCGTCTCTGTAGTCTGGTTGCTAGGGCAACACAGCGGACAGCAAAAGGAGCCAATGAGCACTCCCTTTGTTGCGAGGTGCCCAGGGAAGGACGCTTATTGGGCTGGATGCCAGACCTACGAGGTGGATGGCGTAGGTCCTGTGGGCCTCAGGTGGAGCGCTAGTTTTGGCTTTCCAAGGCTGTGCGGAAGGGGAGGGCCGGAGAGGGTGCCGAGGGAGCAGCAGAACCGGGCCCAGCTATGTTCACCACCCTTCACCCCGCCGTGCTGTGTGTGTAGGTGCCCCGGAATGAAAAACACCCGAGTGGAACTTTGCAGGGGTGTTTAACCTCTGGCCTGTGGGCCGCATTCGACCCAGGATGATTATGAATGCAGCCCCGAATCGTAAATTTACTTAAAACTATTAATTTCCTTGTGATTATGTGTTGCACTGTATTTAATATGTGGCCCAGAGATGCCAAAAGGTTGGACACCCCTGGCAGGGCGTCACCCAGCCCAGCAGACCTGCAACAGCACGTGTCTTCCAGTTTAGAGCAGCCTGAGCAGATTGACCTGGGTTTGTCTCCACCGTTATTTCCCAGCAGTGACTCTGCACAGCTGTTTGGAGGCTGAGTTTCCTCGTAAGCAAGTTGGAGGGCACACCCGTCTCAGGGTTGCTGAGAAATCAATGAGATCATGCAAAGTGCCATGAAATCACTAATAAAGTGGTAACCGACTTTCCTTTTAGATGGGGGAACAGAAGCCCTTGAATTATTTGCATTCCCTCCCGAAAAGCGACTTGGAGTGAAGTCCCACCAGGTTCCCTATTCCGTGAAGCAAACCAGGCCCGTTCTTGTCTGTCTCCCTCCCAGAGGACATGTGCTGGAGGCTCTGGAGCCCCTCCTTCCAGCTGTTAAGCAGGCCCCCCATCCACTTCTCTGCTTGGAGGGCAGGGAACCCATACTGAGTACACTGCCATCCTTAGTCTAGGATCACCTTCCACCTGTCTGCTGTACATTTCTACATCGATGAGCAACCATTTCTGTAAATTTCAAATCATAAAACCTACTGATCATCTTTCCTTCCAGCCACTCAGACTTGAAACCTGAGCCTTAGTTTCCAGCTCTATTGCCCTGGATCCTAATATCAGTCACCAAACTCGGCTTTTTCCGCCAAAATCTTGTATTTTTCTCTTCATTTGTTTGTCTGCAACACTACATTTGTCCATCTTACTGGCTCTTTCCTCTCCTCCACCTGCACTGGCTGCTAGTCTGTTTCAGAAGACACCGCTTTCAACATGACACATTCCTTCAGGCAGACAGCCTTGGCATGGCATTCAGGTCCCCCACTCTATCTCCAGCTGCGTTTCAGCCACACCTCCTCTACTCCCTTGGCCTTCTCACTCAGCAGCCAGCCAGCTACGCTACCTCTGTGCTGCTGTGCTGTTTCACCTCCCCTGACACACCACCTGGATGACACCTGTTGGGTGTGTGAGTGTGCTATGGAAGTGTGTCCTCTGCTGGGTGAGGGCAGGGCCTCTGCCTCAGACAACCCTGGGATCCTAGAGCTGAGTGAAAGAACGAACGAAACCCTCCTCAGGCCATGAAGAGCCCTGCCTTCTCTCCTATTATTCTTCAAGGCAGAAAGATATAACTTTAACAGAATTTATTGGTTTTCCTTGATTGCCTCTGGTCCGACTTTGGAAGAGCTTTCTGGGTTTATCTGGCCTTGTTTCTGGGCTGCAGCTGCAGCTTTTAAGGCCCTTTTTTCTTTCTTCCGCTTTTGGGCCTCCTGGTAAACCTGGAGATGGAAGGGAGCAGGAAAAGACTTTGTAATCCCATGTAAAACCTCGACTGGGAGAGATGGGCTGCAAACTGACACCCCAGCTGGCAACCCCAGCCTTTCTCCACAGGGTTGGTGGCCTGTGAGCCACCATGAGACCTTGGAGCCAGTTCTATGCCTCAATCAGAAAGAGATACCCCTCCCCTCTTTCTCCGCCACAGTCCCAGAATGGAGCCACCCGGAACGGCAGTTTGGACTCATACCCGAATGCACAAAGCCTTCTTGGTCACCCAGCGGCGGTGGGCTTTTCGGTAGTACAAAGGGGGAAAGGTGTACTCAATCCCCAGCTCCTTGCACGTCTTCTCAAAGACTTCATAGTTGGTCTTGCGGAGGTTTTTGAGCATCTTTTTCCTCTGGTCAATGCTCATCAGCAGATAGCGCTTGTGGGCTTTGTCCTGTAAGAGTTGGTATTCCTTTCCTTATTATATATGTGAGCGGTGTGCCACCTCATAGTAACTAAGGATAGTCACTTTATCATCTCACTGAAACCTCCCAACGGTCTCATGCAAATATTAGTATCTGAGGTTGGTACTGTTATCCACATTTTACAGATGAGAAAATAAAGGCTCAACGATGTATCAAGTCTTCAATATGGGCCTACCGGTCTCACTCTAAATCTCATGCTCTTTTCCCATACTATCCACTCAGCCTCTCACAGCTCAGCAAACTGTGAGCTGGAGTAGAGAAGAGGGAAGAACATTTGCTCTTCCGGGAGACCCCCACCCACAGCTAGGTGCTGCATCAGAAGGACATTCTGCAGTGAGGCTAGTGATTCACACTCCAGAACCAAACTCTGACTTCCAAGGAGCAGGCTCAGCCAGCACCAGGGAACACTGAGGTGCCAGCCTGGAGATGAACTGGTCTGTATTCACAATTGTGTGTTTACTGAAAATACCAGCAGCTGTGGGCGAACACTGTGTTGAGATATGGCATAATGGTTAAGAATACGGGCCCTGGAGTGAGATGACCTAGTTTCACGTCCTAGCCCATCATTTCCCAGGGCTATGCCTTGAGGAATAATTTAACCACTGCCTGCCTGGATGATTCCTCCATAAAATGGGATGGAAAGATGGGTATCAAGATTAAATGAGCTAGTGCATGTAAAATATTTAGGAAGAGGCCTAAATGCTTTATTTGCATCATGTTGGCTGCTTGTATTATTTCATATAGTCTTTGCAATCCTGTCAGTAGGTACTATTATGACCCCCATTTTACAGACAGAACTGAGGCTCAGACATGTAAAGTAATTTTCCCAGAATCGCATAACGAATTAAGTGGAAGTGGTGAGCTGGGATTTGAACCCAGAATAGCCTGGCCCCATTCATGCATTCAACAAATATTTACTGAGCATCTGCTACGTGCCAGACACTGTGACCATGCTCTAAGGTTTGTGCTCTTGACCACGGGTGACACTCAGCACAGCACTGGAAGGCTTCCATTTCTCTACTGGAGGTGGGAGGGAATGTTTTTCCCACTGCAGCTGAGGGGTGGGCACCATGGTGTTGGAATTTCCTGGCATCTCAAGCTGCCTCGTTGGACCCAGAGCCCTTCACCTGCAGATTCCTCTGCTCCTGCTGCTGGTGTTTAGCTGTGAGCAATGCTCGAGGCTTACCTTTCGATGTTTCTGCATGTGTTCTTCATAATTGCGGATCTTGACCGTCAAGGCAACAACTGAAACCACAAACCACAGAGGATGAGAGCCAGGAACAGAGGAAGGAAGGGCCCAGGTCTGGGTTATGTATTAAGACCTCAAGGAATAACAATCACCAAGGCTCTTGTATAGCCCTCTGTAATTCCTGAAGCACTCTGAATTTCAAGATCCCAAAAGATTTTGGATTATCTTTCCTTTAAAAAGCAAAGCCTAAGGAAGGAAAGCTCCTTAATATTATAAAAATATCATCCCCAAACCATAGCAAATAGCATTCTTAACAGTACAATAAGTAGTATTCCTATTATTGATTCAACATTGCACTAGAGGTCCTAGCCAATGCAGTAAGATCATATTCCCAAACTGCCAAGGATCTGCTCCTTGCCTTTGCCCTTCCAGCTGCCACCCTTATCTCTGTGATTTTACTAATGAGTTTTCAGAATTAGCAATGCCCACTCATCTCCTAAAGCCCCAGAAAATCCTTCCTTCAGGTATTCTTGTTTTATTTCTACCAATATTGCAAAAATGGGGGCAAAGGCAAAAGCACAAGGTAGCCCCAAGGAGAGGTTTTAAGTACGGCAGGCCCTTTCTGCACACAGAGTTCTGGGAGCCCTTGGACAGGACAGTGGGAACCTTGGCTCTGACCATAGGGCCCCTTCGCACCACCCTAGCTGCAGAGTGGAGAGAGACAGAGAGATGAATTTGGGTTTCTGAGGACCCTGCTGAGCTCACAGAGGTACAAAGCAGGACCTGGGTGCTGACTCCAGCATCACACCGCTCAAGATACACAGTCAGTTTTCATTACTCTTGGCCCACCCGGTCTTTCCCTTTAATAAACCACATCTAATTCCCACTGCACTTGTAGATGAGAGCCCTGGATCAAGTACCAGCTAGCAGATTTCCCTGTACCCCCACTCCCCAAGGACCCCCGACCAACTTCGAGCCTCCAGGGAACGGGTATCCTCAGGGTTTGCCACGACCTTGTTCATCAATTGCTCTTGCTTGATTTTTAGCTTCTCCTTCTGTTGAAGATAGAGACAGAGAATCTGTGAAGTCTGCCACCCTATTAAGAACTAGCCCTCACACTTCCAATGTCATGGCTGCAGTCATAGCCATGAGGGCCTATCATGCTCAAGGCCTGGCCTCTGGCCAAGCACATGGCTTTTCACATCTAGGTGAGCCCAAGGCCAGTGCTACTAATAGGAGAAATGGCTTGTTGGATGAATGTCCCTAAAGCTTGCTCAGATCTTTCAGGCATCAGATCTTTATTGAGCACCTACTGCTTGTCAGGTGCTGGGGGCATAAAGGGGAAAGAAGACTATTCCTGCCCTTGAGTTGCTCAGTCTTGAGATATTAACAAGTAGACAGAGAATGATACTGGTGTACGTGCTGTGACTTGAGAGGCATGGGATGGGAGGTGTTACCAGAGGAGAGGATTGAGGGAGGCCAAGGTTTGGCACAGTCCACTTACCTGGTTTGCCATTTCCAAAGATAAGAGTCTTTTCACGACATCATCGACCCTGTGGAAAAGTCACAGAAATGAGAGAAAGACCTTGGGGCAGAGGGGAAAGGGGAAACAATACTGTTTCATTTTAGTTTGAAAAGCAGGGATGATTAAAAATTTCTTTTACAAAAAAATGAGTCTCTCTGGACACCAGGGGCCACTTCCCACAAATTAAAAGTCAGCATGAATCTGATTTGCTGGGTTGAGAAGGTGGAACGACGTGGTAACTACAGAAAATCACGGCTGTCAGGCTCAGTGTTTCAGGCTCATCCCAGGGAGGACAAAGGGAGGGTTTCCATTTTAGCTAGAATAAGGTTCAATCTGTCTTGAGACACTTCGATTCTGTAATCACTGTTTCTTTCCCAAGTCCCACTGCACAGTGACAGGGACGAAGGGCTGCCCAGCTACCATGGCTCAGGACAGGCTGAGCAGAAGGATCCTGGCTTTGGTGTCATGTGGCCCTGGATTCAAACCCCGGCTCTGTCCCTTGGAGCTGTATGACATTGGGCAGCTTGATAACCTATAAAACGGGGATAATATTTCTTCCCTCACAGAGCTTTTGAGGGCATCTAGACATGAGAAATTTCTACGAAGACCCATGAGGCATGTTGCCTGCTTGGTATCTAATGGTATAGGATCTTTACTCAGAGCATACGAAAAGCAAGCAGCTGAGCCCCATAAGCTACATCTGTCGCTGCTGCCTCTTACACTCACCAAGCTTGGGCTTCCACAGTTCTCTGCCCCATTCTAAATCAAGCTTTAAATATAGCAGACCAGGCCTCGAGGCCGCCGTCTTCCCCACTCCCTGGAGATCTTCCCAGAGCCCCATGCTTCAGCAAAGAGATTTCTTCCTGCTTACTTCTCAATTCCAGGGATGTTCTGGTAATCTTTGAGCAGTGTGGAAGGGGGTGGATCATCTTCTTGGCTGGGCCGTACTGTCAAACGGAGGGATGGAAAACACCCAGAGTCAATTCCCATTGCCCATCCTTCCAGACTTAACTGATTCTTCTTAACAACTCTATCAGAGACAAACAAGGTCTCAAGCAAGGCACTGGATATCTCTGGGCTCAGTTTTCCTCTGCAAACTCCCCAGGCACCTGTCTTGATGTTTCATGCTGGGAGTAGATGGCCTTTCCTAAGACCCTGTACTGTGCTTTCACCTCTCACACCTGTCTGGCTCTACTGTCATCAGATCCCCAATAGGATGGGTCCTCTTGTGGGTGGACTGAATTTGACTTCTTTGAATACTCTTCCTCAGTCTGATCCATAGCCCAGCACAGAACAGGCCCTCAACAAACACTTGCCAGCTGACTGAATGAGTGAAATAAGGGGGCTGAGGAGGAACTCCTAGCTTTAGAACGCTTGAAATGTCAGCACAAAACACAGACCACAGGAAACTCTCAGCCCTGGAATGTGCATCCCAATCCTTCCTTAGAGGTGAGGGAGAGAAATGGGGGAGAACAACCTGTCCTCTCTAGGCACACCCCACTCTGCCACTATGCAAGTTATAGCAATAAATACTAATATATACTACAGGTTACTGCGCACAGTGCTCAGGATGCTTTTCATGTGTTATCATTGAATACTAACGATGATCCTCTCAAGCAGATACTTTTACATTCATTTTAGAATTAGAGTCTGCAGGATTAACTTGGCCAGCATCTTTACCAATATGCAGGCTGCCTTGGAAGGGGAAACCATGCCCTCCTGTCAAAGAAGGGCAGGCACAAAGTGCTATATACTAGGTGGGCCTGGGTAGGCTCCCTCTGGCTAGCTCATTTCCTCTCTTACCCAGTCCGAAGGTTCACCGGCTCCCGTGCTCCACCTCCTTTGCCCCGCAGGGAGGTTTCAGGGTATTGCTTTGTGGCAAGGTGGTCCTCGGGGGTCTTCTGCTTTGGATCTCTGGCCCACCCCATCTAGTGGCCAAACTAGCTTCCTTGGCCCTCTTGGCCACCCCAAGTCTTCCAGGCAGGCTCTTCCACCCCAAGTTCCGACCAAGTCCCACCCAGGAGCTCCTACCTGGTTTCTGAATGGCATATCCGCGGGCGGCCTGGAGGGTGAAACCTATGTATAGAAGAGAGGGCTGAGGCCATACCCTTAAATAGTTAAGCTTCTCTTCCTTTCTATGACCCTCCTTCCACGGTCTTTGCACCTCTGCGCCTAGCCGCCGTCCCATTTCTTTTGCGTCACGCTGCCCTTTGTCTCGTCTACCTCTCCTCACTTCTTCCCCACCTACCACCCTTTTTCTCTAAGCGGCACTTCTCCCCTATCCTCGTCCTTCCTTGTCTCCATCCACCCTTTCCCCACTCCTACTATTCTGTTTTTCGGCTCCTCACCGCGAGGAGGTGAAGGAGGGCCCCAGCGGTCAGATGGAACTCGGGCGCACCCTCCTCCCAGCGGCCCTAGGACTGGAGCTTGGGTGCGAAGGGAACTCAGCACTCTCCACGCCACCCTCAGCATGGTGACTTCTGACCCCAGCAGGCGGGGAGACGGTTGCCTTCTCGGTACTTCTCGGTACACACCGGGTCACACGAGCGCAGCCATATTGGCTCAGGCTCGACCAATCGAGTGCAGCTGCGAGGCCGGAGCAGAGGAGGACCGAGAGGGCGGATTGGAAGCGGAAATGGGTTGAGCTAAGTCAGAGTTAGCTGTGGCTCCGGGTCCGGGACGTGGAGGTTGCTTGGCCGCATTAGTGGGGTGCGGTGCTGTATACATGTTAAGATGCCACTTTTTTTCTTGGACGTAAGGGCGGGATGCCACCCTTAATCCCACTCTACATTCCTGATCCTGGCTCCGATTTTTTGGGGGGCCTCCTTGGGGTCTGTCGTAGCCTTCTCCCTCCCCGCCCCCCAATCTAGTGTTTCAACATCCCTTTCACTCCCCAAACTCATGAGGCCCAGTAAGAATGACTGGATTTCAGCCTCCTCTCTGGCAGCCTTGTAGCCTGATGGTGAAGGTCGCTGGCCGTGGAATCAGACAGCTCTGGGTTGGAATCCTAACGCCCCCATTTACTCACTGTGATTGTGTGGGCAACTCACTCAGCCTTTCTGGGTCACCGTGAACTCATTCATCAGATGAGGATGGTAATAACAGCATGTCCTTTTCAGGTTATTAGAGGACGGACTGAGGAACTTGTGTGCGAGGCACCCCTTATATAGTGAACACTCAATAAGTGTTAGCTGTGATAATATTTGTGAAATGTGAATCATAAGAACAAATACAAATTGAAAGTAGGAAAAATAAATTTTAATTCTTGGGGCAAAAAAGGGGAAAAGAATACTTGTAATTGTGAGTGCTTTTTGCCCTTTTGAATGTATGTAAATCTCTTTAATAGCTAAGTAAGCCTCTTGCCAGTTTTACAACCCAGAAATGTTTTTCTCAAGGACCTCGGAGCCATTTCTTTGAAATGCAGTCATGACGGAAGATAGTGCCCCTGGCTCCCATCTTCTGAGGGAGGGTAGGAGCCTAACTTCACCTGGTGCCTAGTTCCAACTTGCAAACTACCTCCTTTCATAAAGATATGAGAGATTTATTTTTCTTTTGGATAAATGCAATTAGCAAACACAGGCGAGGGCCCCATCTGCCAGGTGAATTGAGGATGATTCCTGTGTGACTAACAGTTCTGTCGAGTCCTCCTGCTTGAGAACTAGTTATTGTTTATTTTGAGAAAATGTGTGCAAGAAGTCGTATGCACCTGGCTATGTAAAGGTACCATTTCTTTGTGTCTCTGCAAGCCCTCTAACTAATTGCCTGTCATACGCATCCCTTTTTGGCTTGATGCTCATTCAATAATAAAACTCTTTTCTTCCTTTTCTGTCCTTCTAGAGAGGTTTTCTAGGTTGGTGGGAGATTTTGTTTTTAATTCTATTTTCCCAACAGGGGTTACCATTTTCTGAGGTCTGTATCCTGCTCTGTGACTACTTCCGGGTACCCTGGCTACTGTGTCCCAGTCATCCGTTTTCAAGTCTCCACCATAGAGTGGGAGCTCTTTGAGGATGGACTGAGCTATGTCATTTTTGAGTCCCTGCTGCCACATGGGGTTCTGGTTGACTGAATGAATGAAGGAGAAATAAACCAACCAGCAATTTTGAAGGGCACATCCCTCCGCCCCTCTGAAAAGAAAAAGAGCAGAGACTCAGGCACATGCAAAGTGTTCCTCAAAGTAACACCCAAACTAAACCAAACCATAAAGCAGTTTGAGAGACCGAAATTACAGGAAGTAAGCACAAAAGATCAGTAGGCAGGCTGGATGAAACAGTCTCTGCCTTTTAAAGTGGGAGGGCCGTGGCTTGTGTGGCTCAATGGATTAAGTGCTGGCCTGTGATCCAAAGGGTCACTGGTTTGATTCCCAGTCAGGGCACGTGTCTAGGTTGCTGGCCAGGTCCCTGGTAGGGGACACACGAAAGGCAACCACACATGAATGTTTCCCTCTATTTCTCCCTCCTTTCCCTTCTTTCTTAAAAAAAAAAAAAAAAAGGGAGGCCCAGCCCATGGGCACTGGGAGCATGGCGGAGGCATGCCGGGAGCCTCAGGGGAACTAGGAGTGTCTTTGCATTTCTTGAGGCAGACAGAGCTGGGGCATCCCAGGAAGCCCTAGAAGCCCCCCAACCCTTCTACCCCATGGACCTGGAGTCCCTGCAGAAGGGGGAAGTCAATCAGTGGCCCAAAGACACAGTCATCCTCCTGGTTTGGGACTAGAGGCTCTGGGGTTCTTAGTGGGCTGCTCTGGAACCAGAGGTTCTCATAGGGCTTGGGGCTTGGGGTGAGGCCCCCCAAGAGAGGCTGAGTGGAGTCGCAACGGATGTAGTGCCCTTGTCCTGGGCTGGTGGGGCTGCCTAGCACCTGTCCATAAAGGACTTGCTCACTGCTGCTAGGTTGCGACTGGGGCTGCATAGAAGGTGCTCTCGGGTCCCCCTGGAGCACATAGGCCTGGACCAGGGTGGGAAGACTACAGGTTGCTGAGCTGTCGTTGGACTCCCAGGGCCCTGGCTTCTTCTCTTCCTCCTCCAGAACCGTGATCTTGGTGATGGGTGGCAAGCTGGGGTCCCAAAGGCTGGGCAGCTGGAAGACCTCCTGCACGCAAGGACAGGTAGTAAGGGCATGATTCCTTTCAGATGTCTGCCCCAGCCACTGCCCCTTCCTGAGTTGGGGAAGGTCCTGAGTGGGTACCTTCCCACTGCCCTCTGTTGGAACTCAAAGAGTTGCTTCTGCAGAATATCTCATGTGTTCATGACACGTGTTAGGTGCTGTTCAGACTTAGCTTGGTTCATCTCCCCAGTGATTCTGTGTGGGATTAGTCCCATTTCACAGTGAGATGTCTGGGCCTTTGAAATGGGTAGAACTGGATGCAAACTCAGGTCTGCTTTACTTCAAAGGGAGGGCATCTTGCTAGGAAGTGAAGGGAAGACCTGAGTATTCATCCCCAGAGGGGCATCCCTTCGCTTTGAGCCTGGGCCAACACCCCCAGCCCCATGTCCCTCTTCCTCCAGAGTTCTCACCTCTGCCATGGTGGTAGGCACCCAGGAGCCCAGGCTGCTGCGGGCTGGGTCAGGGATACTTGGCCAGAGGGGATTCTTCCTGCTGGAGAAGGGGGCAGGCGAAGGCAGGGTCACGCATGCCCTCACATCTTCCCATCCTTTCTTACACCCATTCCCAGCAGCGGAAGGGATAGCTGCTACGGGCAGAGAGGAGAAGGTGGGGGGGCTGACTCCCAGACATGGGGCGTGAGGCCTGGGAAGGCTGGGACGGACTTAGGCTGGCCCACGCGGGCCTGTACTTTCTGGTGGGGAGGGGTATCAGGGTGTCCGATCTCTTGATTCACCTGGGTCTGCAGCAGAGCCGGACGGCCCCACAGAGGCAGAGCAGCAAGAGCAGGAGGCTGAACAGGCTCAGGATGATGTGCAGCTTGGACTCTCCTGGGATGAGGGGAAAGCCAAAGGGGGGAGCGTTCACACTAGTAAGGCTGGACCTCCTCCCTCAGACTGAGATCCAGGGGAAGAGCTGGGTTTCCTCCTCGGACCAGGAGATCCAGACAAGCCCGGTCTACTCCAAAATGGAGATCCTTTCTGTGAGACACCCTCCCTGTTGACCTTGTCTGTCCAGCCCCCTTCTCTCCTTACCTGGAGCTAAGGTCATCAGGGTGAGGCTTGTACTGTTGGTGGCTCCTGCCTGGCTGGTAGCCATGAGGTGGATGTGGTACAGGGTGGCAGGCTCCAGGTCAGTGAGGACAAACTCATGGGAGGAAGCGTTAAGGATGGTGGCTGGGAGCAGAAGAGAATGATTAGCCTGGGCCTGGATGCTGAGGCTCTCTCCTTGGCTGCCGAGCACCCCGTCCTGGGCATTCTGGGGCTGAGGATAGACTCACAGAAGGACTGGTGCTGAGCATTGGTCCAGAAGATGGTGTAGTGGGTGAGGGGGCTTTTCCCCAGCTCAGGGGCCTGGGGCACCCACTCCAGCTGGGCCCACGTCTTGGCAATGTGCTTCAGATGTAGCTCTGGGGCGTGGGCGGGGGCTGCCGGAGGAGAGAGGGGTTCAGGGTTGATGGGGGCAGAGTGGAAGGCCCAGCTGGACTTCTTGTGGCTCCCCAGACCCTAGAACTGGGACATAGTGCTGGGTGCGTGACAGAAGAGAGTCCGAGGGGACTTGTGTCCAAGCCTCATTTTCTCAGGAACTTTGACTGAATCCCATCAGCTAAAAAGTGGCTGAGCCAGGCAGGGTCTGAACCTGCTTCTCTCTGACTCCGAAGCCCCGCTCCCTGATTTCTGCCAGGCCTCTTTGTCTGACTCAGTTTTCAGTTTCTGCCACTCACTCTCTGAATTTATGCCGGGCCCCTCTCTATTTCTGTCCCATGTGGCATCTCATTTCTGTCAGGACAACTGATTGATTTTTGCCATACTTGCTCCCTGAATTCTGCTGAACTCACTGCCTAATTTCTATCACCCCACTGCCTGACTTCTTTCTAGCTGCTTACACCGGGGTCCAGCGTAAGCCTGGGGCAATCTCAGGATTGGGAGGAACCATGTCTGGGCCAGACAGAGGGGAGGAAGGAGATGTTCACTCAGTCCTGATTCTTGGAGCCCTGGCAGGACTAGAGAGAGAGGAGAGGGTTCTGAGAAGGGGCCTGGTGGCTGACGAACCCGTCTCTTGGGAGTAGGCGTAGATGTGCTGGGGGGGTCCCATGGTGCCTTGGTTCAAGGGGGTCACAGTGATCTCGTAGAGCTGAAAGGGCCTGATGTTCTCTGCAGAGAGAGGACGGGGTAGGCACCCTGATTAGGGGATAAGCTCGGCTGACCCTCAGGGGCTGACCTCAGACCTCTCGTGAGGGATAACCTGGGCCTCACACTGCAGGGTTGGCCTCTGCAGTCTCTTTTGCAGGCCGTTTGGTAGGGGTGAGGGGAAAAAAACTGGGAAAGAGAACTAGAAAGGTAGCAGAGTCCGGGCTGTAGCAAGAGAGGATCCAGTTAGACTCTGAGGAGAACTTCCTGATTCTGCGTATAAGAGGTGAGACCAGTGAAGGCTCACGGAAGACTCGGGAATCTGCTTGCTGGGGCGGTTCAGGTTGCCCCTGCCTCTGCCTCCCCACCTCCCAGCCCTGCCCACCTGCCCCCACCCTGGGCCGCCTCACCCTGCAGCAGGGTCCCTGCAATGCTGCCATTCTGCTCCATTTTCCAGGTCTTAGGGCTGCCGCTGGGGCTGGGGGGCCCCGGGCCCCACTCAATCACATAGCCCCGAGGCTGAGGGCTCGGGGGCTCCCAGCCCACCCAGAGGCTGTGGGGGTCTCGGGCCGTGGTACGGAGTCCACGCAGCGGCGGGCCTGTAGACATTAGAAGAAGATGGCAAGGAGGTGAAAAGAAAGCAGGCCCTAGAGCCAGAAACCTGGGTTTAAGTCCTGGCTTTGCTGTTTACAAACTGGGTGACCTCGAGCAAGTCAACATCTGAGCCTCAGTTTCCTCCTCTGTTAAATGGACATGATGGTAAAAGTTCTTCCCTCACAGGGTTTCAGTGCAGGTTAGGTGAGATGATGCGTGGGGCAAGCCTAGTGTGTGGTGCCTGGTGTAGAGCGTTGCTCAACAATCACAAAAGCTAACTATCACTGTGCAGTTCTTGGTATGTGCCTGGTACAGTCCTTGGTGCATGCTAAGTCCCACGTGTGGGGCGGGGCAGGGGCACTACTGCTGTTCCCGTTTTGTCAATGAGAAAACAGACACAGAGAGATTAAGTAACATCGAAGGTCGTTTGGCTAGTCAGTGGGAATATTAGCTTTTGTTATTGTGAGTCTCACCTTGTGAGGACCCGTGTTCAGGGGACCCTGGGGGTGGTGGCAGCTGACCTCTGGAGAATGAGCAGTTCGCTAAGGGACTGCGCTGCAGCTGGGAAAGCACAGACCGCAGATGGGCTTTCTCTCCCACCTGGCTCGGCAGGATGGACTGTGCGCAGGCGCCACCACCAGCTTAACCTGGGTCGGGCTCGTGATGGTCATAGCTCCTGCCTATTGAGCAGCTGCTTGGTGCCAGGCGCATGTCTTAGCTCATGTAATCTTCACGCCAACCCTTTGAGGTGGGTGCTGCTATCCTCCCCATTTGCTAGATGAGTAAACAGAGGCCAGGGAGGTTAAGTAACTTGCCCAGGTCACACTGTTAGCAAGCAGTAGGACTAGATTGGACCCCAGGCAGTCAAGTCTTCAAGTGCACATGCTTAAACACCATGCTCTCCTAGCTGCTGCCCCTCTCACCTTTCCTCATGAAGACCACAGGGGTGGGAGGAGAGGTCCCAGCGGTGTTATAGGCTACAAGGGCCACCTCCTGGACTTCGGAAGGCAAGTGGAAGGTGCAGTTTAGCTCCGTGGTGTTGCAGAGGGGTAGGACTGCTCCAGCCTGGCCTGAGGGTCTCCAGGAGACCAGGTACCCTTGGATCTGCTCGTTGCCTTCCTCCAGGGGCATTGGCTGTGGTGGGCACAGGAGGAAAAAGATAAGGGGGATGCCCATCTTACCCTGAGTGGGGCAGAGCTTCTAGATGGGGTTGCCGGACAATAGGAGCTGAGCCCTCCAGGCTGGGAGCCAGCCAGCCTCCCTCCCTCCCTCCCTCTCTCCCTCCCTCCCTCCCTCTGTTACCCTGTGCCAGGTCCTAGGAGGGAAGAAGTGAGTCAGTGTATGCAGCAGGCACTCAACTATTCACTGAGCCAACCCTTTGCTATAGGTGAGTCCAGAAGGGCACTACCCTGCTTCTTAGGCACGTGCAGAATTGCATGCAAATCACGCACAAATGCGTCCAAGCCTCCCAGACCCGGCAGACTCCTGAGCCCCAGCCCACAGGGGTCTGTGTGGGTTGAAGGAAGTCTCAGGGGTGGCTTTCAGAGGGGGGTCACCTTCCAGAACAGCTGCACATCCATGGTCCGGGGGTCCAGCTTCCTCTGCCACCACCAGGTGTCCAGTCTGACGCTGGGGGCTGTGGATGGAGTGAGAGGAGGGGTGCTGGGCAGGGAGGGCCCTGGAGGCGGGCCTGGGTCCTGACGGCTGCTCCCAGCCCCGCCCTGCCCACTCACCCCGTAGTGAACTGGTCAGCTGCAGGCTGGGGCTCCAGTCACTCCAGTGGCCAGGCAGGGGCCAGCGGATACAGCGCATCTGCAGGGTGTAGACTTTGGAAGGGATGAGCCCACAGAGCTTGTGCTGGAGGCTGCTGGAGGGCAGGGGTCCTACCTGGTGGGACAGGACCTGGCTCTGAGCCTGGATTCCTATGCCCTTCAGGGCCAGCTCAACTGACTCTCCCCTCAGCCACCCCACCCCGGGCTCTTGAGGAGACCCTCCACCTCACCAGGGTCCAGCTGGCTCTTCCGAGCTGTGGCTGGTGGCGCAGCTCGCACTTCTGTTCTATGTACAGGCTTGCCTTCCGTGACTCCCAGCGCAACTGTAGGCAGCCCGGCTGGGGTTTGGCCAGCTCAGGGCTGGGGTCCAGGGCCCACAACGTTGGGGGCTCCAGTTTTACTGCAAGGAGAGGGCCGGTCAGGCCCTTTCTCTGCCCCATTGCATGGGGCACTGCCTTAGCTCCCACTACCCCCTGCCCGTGGCTCCATTTTTCTCCCTGGCTCTCCATTCACATGGTCCCTGTGTCCTTCTTCCTTGCCCTCTGTGTGTCTCTTCATCTCTATGTCGTCATGGTTCTGTGCCCCGTCTCTGAGTATGTGTCTTTCTCTCCAGGTCTGTTTCATTGTCTTGCCCCAGGGCCTTTGCCCTGGGTGTCCCTGCACGTTTCCGGTGCCTTACTCCCTCATTTCCTTCAAGGATCTTGTCAGATGTCACCTCAGTGAGGCCTTCCCGGACCACCTACTGAAATAGCAACTGCTGCCCACCCCCAGCCCTCCCGCCCCTTCCCCATCAATTCCCCCATCACACTTACCCTCAGCGACATTCTGTTTTACTTATTTTGCCCCCTCGGGTGTAACGTTCCAGGGACAGGATTTTTGCCCTCTGTTCACTGCTGTTTCCCTCGCACCCAGAACAGTGCCTTAGCACATAGTTGGCACTTCGGGAAATTTGCCGAGAGAATGAATGGGTGTCCCTGCGTCTGCGTTTTCTCCACGCCTCCGTCTGCAGCTGCACCCCTGTCTTGTCTCTGTCTCCCTTCTCTATCTCTAGGTCTTCCAGTGTCTGTTTGCTCGTTGCTGGGTCTCTGTTTCCCTCCTGGTGCCTCTCTGGGTCTGTCTTTTGTGGAGGCCTCTTCCCTCCCCCACACCCGCTGCGTCACTCACCAGCGTCCATGGGATCGAGGCACAGCTGCTCCGACACCCGGGTCCCCAGCACATTCTCTGCCTGCACCCAGATGCCCATGCTCTGGTAGAGCTGCAGATGCTTGCGGGGGATGGAGCAGCGGCTCTGCCCGTGCTCAGGCACACAGTCCGGGATGGCTTCCTCTCGGACCTGGCAGTGGCCCCGGCTCCTGCCAACAGGCCAGGTGTGGGTGTCAAGCAGAGGGGACACCAAGGCTCCCTTCTCCCTGCCATCTTTGCCCCTGTCTCCTCCATCCCCACAGTCCTCCCTGTGCCCCACCCCAGGGCCCCAAGGAATGGAGACCCCCTACTCACTTGAAGCTTTTTAGGGTGAAGTTGGTAGACAGGTGGGGGTCACGTCCTGGCTCCCACTGGCAGGTGAGGCTGTCGGTGGTGAGGTTCATGATGCAGGACAGGTTGTGGGGCGTGGCGGGAGGGTCTGCGCACAGGATGGGGAGTGTGAGGGTCTGGGTAGGACCACTCAGAAAGCTGCCACTGGGACCAGCTGGCCTTGTTTCCCCGCGAGGGGCCATTCCCTCCGGGGTCACTCTGTCTATCCGCCTGTCTCTGTGCGGCCTTTGGGGAAACCAAGTTATAGGCATGTCCAGGGACGAGCATGAGGGAACCTCGACCCCCTCAACTGCACCCCCTTCCACAGTGACAGGGTGGAGCCTGGGTTTTCATCCTGGTCCTGCCATTGATCAGCCGTGTGATCTCGAAGTTGCTCAACTGCTCGGTTTCCTGCTCTGTAAAATGGGGTAGATGGTAATGTACCTACCCCTACGGTTCTTGTAAGGGATGAATGACTTACTAATGTCGAGTGCTCGGAGCAGTGCCTGGTGCATAGTAAGTGCTATGTAAGCATTAGCTGTACTATTACTGATTTTTATATAAGAACCTTCTCTGTCTTCGTTTTTTCTTAGGTGTGGGCTTGGCGCAAACTCCATTCTCTGCAATTTGTGCAGAAGGCTGCAGCTGGGGTGGGGGAGAGGCTGGGAGCAAGCCCGGCTGGGAGGGAACGTCCTCCCCAGACACACCCTCCTGTGGCTGGGGGTCGGACATGCCCGGCAGCCACGCAGAGCAGCAGTCACCACCCGGGCTCCCAAGCCACACTGCCTGTTACCAATCTTCACTCCGTCCTTACCAGTTGGTGACCTTCATTCAGCTCATCACTTACCCTCTCTGAACCTTAGTGTCCTCATCTGAGAAATGGGGCTAAACAGCACCATCCACTAGGAAGGAAGATGGCCTATTATCGAGCCCATAAAGTGCTTATTGAGCAAGAGCTTGAGGAAGAATAGCTTTCATTAGTATTGGCAGGCGGGCCCTGGAGGTAGAGCGGGTGGACGGCTGCAGGGACTCACAGCCTGCCTGCAGCTCAGCCTGGTCCAGGATCTGCAGGCTGTGGCCCCAGCGCAGGTAGCAGGACAGAAGGGCCCGTGGGTCGTTGAGGTGGGGCAAGGTGATGGTGGATTCCTGGGTCCCATCCGGCAAGCGCTGCTGCCTCCCCCCGGATTGAAGCTCTGTCCCCAGTTTCCACACAATCTGCGACTCTGGGCCCAGGTGGCTGCAGTTCTGGCTGATGATGCAGGAGGCCGTGATGGCATCTCCCAGGTGGACAATGCGGGTTGGGAGGCTGATGTACCCGCACTCCTCCAGGCCTGGGATGGAAGACAAGGGGCCACACGTGACTCCTGGGCCTGGCAGAGCCGGGCCGGAGGCTAGGACTTTGTGGTCCTAGACTCAGAGCCCTCACCTTTTTGCCTCACCCCCTGAGATGTAGGAGCTGGAATGGGGAGCCGTGTTTGGGACTGTGGGAGGCTCTTGGGGAGGAGACAGAGGTAGTGATGTGTAGGTGAAAGTTCATCAGCTGGCTATGCAGAGGCAAAGCCATCCCGATGTGTAGTATGGGCTGCTTTCCCTGGTGAAATATTCCCACGTCGGCGGATTGCAAGCTACTGGCATGACTTCACTGAATGTGAACTTGGGAAGAAGAGGTATGCACAATTAGCTCTTGCAAGCCTGCTCCAGACACAACCAGATAGAGTCTACACCCCTCCCTGGAGCCCTCCCTGAGGATGGGGAAAGCAGTGATTAGAGTGATAAGAACCCTGAAGCCACAGCAATCTTTTCAGAGCTCAGATCTGATTGTGTTTCCGCACCTCAACCACAGCACTTCAGTGGCCTGTTACTGCTCCAAAAGGCAGCATTGTGGGATGGATAAGAGCAAGGGATTTGGGGACTGGACTGCGGAGGTTTAGAGCCGGATCCTATTGCTTACTAACTCTGTGACCTTGGTATGTTATTGAAGCTTTCTGTGCTTCAGGTTTCTCATCTGTAAAGTGGGGACACAAATAGTCTCTACCTTAGTGTTGCTGGAGGCAGTCGATGCGATATTGTGTGTAAGGCACTTGGAACAGTATCTGGCTGGTGGTATTTGCTGCCCTGATTAGGATAAAGACCCAGCGCCTTCTCATGGCCCTTGTGGCCTGGCTGCCACCGCCTGACCTTCCCACTTCCAGCTCAGACCATTCTCTCTCAGCTCCAGTCACCCTGGCTTCTCGCTTCTCCTTGAAAACACCATGCTCTCTTCAGTCTCCGAATCTTTGCCTCTGCTGTTGCTTTTTGAGGTGCTCTTCTCCTCCCACCCCTCTTTCACCTGGTTAACGTTTAGGCATCTTGAGGGGAACCAGACCAGGCACTGACCAACCAGACCACGCCAAGCCCCCTGAGCTTTCCCAAAGCTCTTACTATCCTCCATACTTATGGAGTCATACTTATGGAGTATCCTCCATACTTATGGTTACTTGCTTGTCTGTGTCCCCAGCTAGACCATAGGTTCCCTGAGGCCAGAGACGTTGCCTGTTTTGCTCACTTCTGCATTCCCAGTGCCTCGCACAGAGTAGCCCGAGGTGCATATGTATTGAATAGAGCACCGCCTTTTGCCCACCGTGCCTTCTCTCTCACGTGTCCTTTGGACCATTTTCCTGTTGGGGATGCTGAGGCTCTAAGAGGAGGAACACTTTGCCTGGGGTCACAGAGCAAGTTCATGGGGTCTCACCACTTCCCAGACTCAGAATCTCAGACAGGAAGCAGCCTTGCAAAACTGTTCACTTCAAAACTCCACCTGAGGCCATGTCCTCTCCAACAGGGCAAGGATTGCCTGTTTGTGTGTGTATGTGTATGGCCTGCCAGCTAAGAAGGTCTTTTACATTAAAAAAAAAAAAAGATTTCATTTATTTATTTTTAGAGAGGGGAAGGGAGGGAGAAGGAGAGGGAAAGAAACATCAATGTGAGGTTGCTTCTCATGCGCCTCCTACTGGGAGCCTGGCCCACAACCGAGGCATGTGCCCTGACTGGAAATCGAACTGGTGACTGGTTCACAGGCCAGTGCTCAATCCACTGAACCACACCAGCTGGGGTGGTCTTTTACATTTTTAAAGGGATAAAACCAAACCAAACCTAAATCAAATAAGAACATGCAACAGAGACTGCCTCTTCCTGCAAAGCCTGAATATTACTATCAGACGAAGTTTGCTGACCCCTGTCATGCAAGATCCCTGTCAATCCTAGCCTCAACTTGCATACCCCCAGGGACGGGAGGGTCTCTACCTCTCGAGACAGAGTTTTGATAGTAGGAGAACTCTGCCTGGGCTTCCTATTTCAGGATGAAACCTACCTCCTTCTGGCTCCTGCCCTGATCCCTTTGCTGCCCGTGAAGACTGCACAGAAGTCAGAGGTTCCTTGTGACAGCCGGGCAGAAATTCGCAGACAGGATCTGGGGACCCTGGCCTTTTCCAGGTTGACTTGCTCAGCCTCTCACCTTCCTCAAAGTCTGTGGACAGGAGCCCAGCTATCCCATATCTATGGTCCACTCTTGATTCTCTAGGGATTTTCTAGGAACCCCCGGGGCAGTGTGTCAGTGCAGGGACTTAATTCTGCCCTCCACCCCTGATATCTCCCCCTGTAACTCCCCTCTCACCCCAGCCCCCCAGCCCCGACCCCACTCACTTCTGGGGAGCAGCAGGAGGATCAGAGCAGCTGTGGGCAGGCTCCAGGCTCCCAGCCCCACCATGGTGCCAGGTCGGCGTTCACATGCAGGCGGGTGGGGTGGGGTGGGGGGATGGTTAAGGTCTTGGACTTTGGCGTCACAGCCGAGCTCAATTCTCGTTCTGCCACAGTGTGGCTTTGGCCAGGTTACTTGACCTCCGTGAGCCTCAGTTTCTTTGTCTGCAAAATGGGGGTAACAGGCTTTACTACATAGGGCTTTGGGAAGAAGACCTGGCACACAGGAAATGGCTATGAGTGACAGCCACTGTTATTGTTATACTGCCTCCCGGGGGACAGCAGGGAAAGGAGCAGCAAGGAACAGCATTGTCTCCCCTTCCCTTCTGTCTTAGCTGCCCGCCCCACTCCAAAGGAGGAGCCCGAGGTGAGGGCTTGCATGCGGGTGGTTTATTTTAGGGAGAGCCCAGGAACAGAGTGCAGGAGTATGGAGAATGAAACAGGTACGAAGGGAAAGCCAGTGCAGGGCAGGTCACCCACCAAGCTGGTCGCCTGTGTGAACCGTTGGGACTCAATCTTGCTGGAACTCTCCAAGGAGCTGTGTACACACCACAGAAGTGTCCACTCAAGGGACAGTTTATCCCTTGAATGGGAGGGAATATGGAAACATTTATCCACCGACGCCTGTCCCCATTGGTCTAGGGATGTCCCTTGGTGTATTAACTGCCTGGCACATCCAGGTTGTTCATGCATGAGTATGAGGCAGGTTCTCCCGGGTGAGCCAGGGCAGAAGTGTCAGACACGCTCCCTGGCAAAAAGGGACAACTCCACAGAGCAGCTGAAGCAAGGGGCTGTCGGCTTACACCTGTGGGAAGCCTTGGCAATGGCTGAAGGGAAAGGGGTGCAGGGGAGGGACACACAAGGGGTCTAATACACCCCACGTTCTGGGCACAGACCTCCGGAGGCCTTCTGGGACCAGGCGTTCCAGGGCCAGGTGTCCCGTAGTCACGGTGACAGTTCCCCAGGTGGAGGGAGCATTAGTTCCAAGCTCAGGAAGTATGCTGGGGGTGGGCTTCAAGCCTAACCCTCCGCTCTGATCCCGTTGGGGTCTTGGGTCCAGACACCTGATCCTCCAGCACTAATTGACACTCTTGGTGGCAGGCCAGTGGGAGTCGCTGAGGAGCCAGCCTGTACACCCACGAAAACACAGATGGTGTCCCAGAAGATCCCCTGTGCTCACAAGAGAGAAAGCTTCTCTCCTTTCTCTCCCTCTCAGAGGTGTGAGCAAGAACTGGCCAGATACCCGAGACTGTTTACGCGCTTGTAGGGGCCTTAATCAAACCGAACCTCTAGTCCACAGGCGGCAAACACAAGGCTGGAGGGCTGAATCCAGCCCTCCACCTTGTTTTACCCGGCGGCAGCACAGAGCTCCTTGCCCCTAGTTAAGGAGTAGTTACAGTTATACAGTCCTGAAATTACATTCGGCCCTTTGAAGGCAACCGTGAGGCTGATGTGGCCCCTGGTGAAATTGAGTTTGACACCTCTGCCTAGTCTATCTGCTCATGTTGCAGGATCCACCCCAGGTGGCTGGCCCATAAGCCACTTTTTTTGCTAATCAGGAGAAAAGTGCCCCTCCCTCTGGCCAGATGCAGCCCCACACCAGGACCGGGCCACTGGAGAAGAAGCTGGATTTCAGCCTCCGTTTGCTGTTCGGCCTGGTAGCTTTGTGTAGTGAGAAACCTGCCCCATTGTTCACAGCCCCTCGGTCTGCCAGGCAGTGCTTGGCAACCTTCTCATGACAGCATGCCCGTTTGATGATCTCCCCCCACGCACGTGCTGGGGAAGATTGAGCCTCTTTGGCCCAGATTTTGGGACTCTGGTTCCCACCTCCATGTGCTTTTGAGCCTCCTCAGCTGTGCTGCACTGGCACAGGTCAGCTTCAGGCCCAGCCACACCCAGTGAGGGACCATTCGCCGCTGGCTCCCATCCAGAGTGGGCCACCAAACCTCAAACCCCAAAGGCCATTCCTCCCCCTGGGTTGCTGAGTGTTGGCACCCTTGTCATCAGTCCCTGGTCTCCCATGGCTGCCCGGGGTGCCCCCAGCCCAGCTGAGTGAGATTTGGGGCCTGTTGTAGTGTGGTCTCCTCCCTTGGGGCAGAGGGGCTGGGAGCCCAGCTGTGAGTCAGCTCAGCTGGTCTGAATCACAGCGCTGCCACTTACCAGCTCCGTGACCTTGGCCAAGTTACTTTCTGAGCTTCAGTTTCCCCATCTGTGAAAGAGGGATAATAATAGCACCCACTCTCAGGGCTGCGGTGTGGATGAAACCAGATGATCCGTGACAAAAGCCCTCAGCACGGAGCCCGCAAGGAGACAGCACTCAATAACTGTTATTTTCACGTGCTGTGGTGCTGGGCACCACCTCATGGAACCCAGCGCGGCTGAGTGCCCCCTGCCCCGCCTAAGGGCTGTGTGGTCCCAGCCTCCAGGGACTGCCCCTCTCTTTTGTCTAGGTCACACTTCGTGGCAGCACGACTCCCATTTCTGGGCCCCCTACTTGCAGCTCCGTGACCCTCCAGTCTTCCGCTGGCTGCAGCCGTCTCCTCTGGGCACTTCTGACTGTAGCTGGGTCCCAGCGACCCGCACTGCCCGTGGAGTCCTGCAGCACACCCCCGCTGTCTGCTGCCCTCTTCTGTCCCTCCGCTCAGCCTTCTCCCCCTGCCCTCCCTTCTCCGGTTCACGCCCCCCTCTCCCTGTGCTTTCTCCTCTAGTTCACCTGGACGTTGTTTCTATGGGAGGAGGGAGGGAGGGAGGGAGGAGGGAGCTGGGAATGAACAGGGGAAGAGACCTTCTCAGCTGCGGTTCAGAGAGACAGAAGGCAGAAAGAGTGAGAACGTGAAGTCACTCACGCAGACTGAAGTGACAGAGAGGGGGACCCGTGGAGATAAAGACAGGCAGGAGAGGTGCGGAGTCAGACGGGGAGAGGAAGGAGCCCCAGGGACAAGGATGCTGACAGCAGAGAGACTGAGGCACTTGGAGGCTGATAAACGGTCTGATACCCAAGGGAGTTTGAGATTCTAAAGATGGAGGGAAACGTGAGAGACAGAGAGAGGCACACGAGACTCCGAGACAGACGGAAACTCGGAGCGCAGGCAAGCCGGAGAGGGGTTGAAACAGAAAGAGAAATGGAGCGTCAGTGATACAGAGCTAGAGACAGGGCGGGGTGGAGGCGCAGAGGCTCCGAGAGGGAGAACCATTGGGCCCTTCCCTGGGCCCACCTCCGTGTCCTCAGATTCGGCTGTTAGTGACTTACCTGATGCAATGCCCCCCCCCCCAAGTGGGGACATCTCTAGGAAAGAGACTTAGTGTCCAGGGCTCCTGGTTCCAAGGGACAAGCTCTAAAGGCAGGAGCTCTGGTCCCAGCCCTGGGCCCCCTGTGTGCTGGCCCTTGGCAGAGCTGGGGGCGGGGAGTGGCCACAGGACTGGGAGCCCTCATCAAGGCTCAGCTCTCCCTGGGGCCCCGCTACTCACGCTGGAGCCTGCGGCCCTGCAGCCGCCTGGCCTCCCCGGTCTCCGCTCTCTTTAGCCAAGTTCCTGAAAACAGCTGCCGTCTGGCTTCTCTCCCCAGCCCTGTCGTTAATGGCCTGGCCTCTGACAGGCCGGGGGACTGTGGATTGCAACACCTGCCAGCCTCCTTCCCTCCCTTGCCCTGTTGCTGTGGCACGGGCAGCCCCTTCCTCCCAGGAAGGAGCCTGGGAGGGAAGCTGGTGAGGCCCGGGCAGCCTTCCTGCCTCGGGGGTCTTAAAGGGGCTGGGGGATGTGGCAACGATGTTCCCCTTCTCTGCTCCTCTGTCTCCGGATTTCCTGACCTCAGAGCTTTGAGGCCCTGTCGCCCGGGGTCCAACCCAGCGGGGGGCCATTCCCATGCCCCTTGCCTTGGGGGAGCATCGCTCAGAGACAGGCCCCGGCTGGAAGGTTTGCTCAGCTCTGAGCCTCTTTTTGGCACCAGCCTCGGGGCCCTGGTCACCTCACTCAGGGGGGCAGCCTCCAGGTTGCAGGGAATTTCGTGAGACAAAGTACCTTCCTCGGCGCCCCCCTCCCCACAGCGTATCCTCTGTCATTGCCTATAGGTTGAGTGGATGGAGAAATGGGGACGCTGGGGCCACAGAGGGAAGACCCGTGAGACTCAGGACTTCATCTGCTCACTGGTTGACACACAAAGATTCTGCTAGCTACACTGAACATTTAAAAATAATTTTGATTTCATTTTTGATATTAGAGAGAAAGAAAAGAGAAAGAGAGGGAGAGAAATATTGAAGTGAGAGAGAAACATCTATCTTTGCCTTCTGTGCATGCCCCAGCCTGGGCCTGAACCCACAGCCCAGGCACACGTCCTGACCGGGAATCGAACCAGTGACCTTTTGGTTTGTGGGATGACGTCCAACCAACTGATCCACACCAGATGGGGTGTGAGCACTTTTTGAATTGAGTGAGCTAGACTACATTTTATATCTTTCATTGTCTACATCTATGATTCCCTTGCAATTGTTTATAATTTTCTGTGCATTTTTCTGAAGAAGTGTCAGGCAATTCATAGTTTATTGGATTTATGACATTTTAATAAAGGTTAGGTCCCAGCTGACTAGCAGAGTGTCCATAACCTATGATCCTTTTAGAAACGATGGACTTTCTGAGTCTGGTGTGATGAGGTAGACCTGGGCCGTGGTCTTGGTCCCAGGCTGAGATACCCAGCTGTCTGTGGCAACTCCCCCGAGATGTGCCATAGGCCCTGCTGGCTCAGCAAGTCCCACGGACTCTTTTGCCAGAATAACCCGAGTCCTGGGTAGATTCACTGTAAAGTTCAATTTGGCTCTGCGTTTGAATATTTTTATGATAAAAAGTCGGAAAATACCAGTATCACTTAAACTCAGGTCATCGCGATGGCCTCCTCCCTGGTCCCCTACTTCCGCTCATCCTCATCCCCCCACCTGTCTGCGGTGCCACCCGCAGCCCCTGCGATGCTGACCAAGCGGAAGTTGGTTCATGTCATCCCCTGCTCGGATCCCCAGCGGCTTCCACCTCACTCAGCATCATGGTCAAACCCCTCTCAGTGATCGACAAGGTCCTCTTCAAGCCGGGGTACCTCCACTGGCTCCCTGACCCCTTTCCTGTAATTCTCCCCCTTCCTGCTCTGCTGCTGTCTCTCCGTTTTCCTTGTTGCTTGAACTTGTTGGGCTTCCTCCTGCCTCAGGGTCTTCGCACTTTCTGTTCCTCTGCCTGGACTCTTTCCCCGCCCCAAATAATGCTGTGGGTCACTCCCGCCCCTCTTCAGGTCTTTGCTGAAATGTCACCTCATCAAGGCCGTCTCTGACCACCCTTTAAAAAACGTTGCGGCCTCTGACTCCGTACTTCTTTTTTCCCCTGTATCCCTTTTCCCCATCGGACATTGGCTGCCTCTGCTCCTCCTCTCCCAGTAGAATGGAAGCTCCACGATGGCAAGGATTTTAGTCTATTTTACTTAAAACATTATCCGGAGCATGTACAACACTACCTGTCCCATGGTGAGTCCTCAGTCCAGGTTTGTTGAATGAATGCATTGAGTGGATTAATCTTCCTCCACTTCACCAAACCTATTCCCGACCCCCACGTGCCTCATCTTGGTAAATCAGTCGCCATCCCTACCTCCCCCAGTTCACGGGACCGGGGACCCAGGAGTCCTTCCTCACACCCCCTCTCCACATTCCCACACCAAGCAGTTCAGAATGAAGGAGAATGGGCCTCTCGTTCATCATTCAGAAAACACAGTCCTAGAGCAGGTGCCGGGGTACAGTGGCTGCAGAAACAGCTTTAGTTCCTGCCTTTATGGAGCCCTGTCCTGTCCTGCACGCTGACCCCACCACCTCTCCTTGCCTTTGTCGGGTCTCCGCATCCTTCACGGGGATGCACCAACCTGCCGCTGGGCTCCCCGCTCTCTGCCAGCAGCCTGCGGAGTGAGTGTCCTACACACACACCTGACCACGCTGGTCCCCCTTCTTCCGGGTGCCTTCCTCCCACCCTAACTCTTTAATCGGACAATCAAGATCCCCCGAGATTCGGCACCTCCTCCCTCTGCCTGTCTGTCTCCGCGTCTCCAGGTGACCACTTCGCGTTCTAGTCACACACGTCATGCAGAATTCACTTATGTTTTCCTGCCTGCCTCAGGCTCTGGAACACCTCTGTCTGTTCTCGCTGGTCCCCTTACCTCCAGCAGGCTAGGCAGTCCTGCCTACCAGGCAGCTCAGACGAGCAGCCTGCTCCGAGCATCTTTCCTGGTGATCCTGTGGTACCGGGTGGCCTGTGGGCTGTCTGCCTCCTCTGTTAGGCCGTGAACTCCTTGAGGGTGGAAACCGTCTCTGCCTCCAGGCTTAGCACAGTGCAGGCCACACAGGGGATGCTCAGAGCAGGGGACTCTCAGAGCGTATTACTGGGCTGTGGAATCTTGGAGAAGTTGTTTACCCTCTTCAAGCACCATTTTCTTATCTGTCTCAGGGATAAGGAGTCCTCCCAGGGGTTTTGTGAGGATTAAATGAGCTATGGGAGCCTTGCACAATAACCAGCATGTAGTAGGTGTTCAATGAAATTTCGTTCTTTTTCACTACCCGTATAGGTCAGAATTCCAGAACAAGGTTTTACTGATCCCCTCTGCGCTGTATCCTCCACTTTGGACCTGCACCAGGAAATGGAGGTGCAGCGCTGAGATGAAGGTTAGACTTCAGGCCAAGTTATGAGAGTGTAGCGAGGTTAGGAGCAGGGGCTGAAGAGTCAGACTTCTCGAGTTTGCCACTTACTAGCCGTATAACCCTGGGTTGTTTAAGTTGTTTAACCTCTCTGAGTCTCAGTTTCATCATCTTTAAAATGAGGATTAGAATAGATTCTGCTTCATGGGTTTCTTGAGGGAAATCAGTGAACTAATGCAGGTGATGCTTGTGGAATGGAGCCAGGCACATAGTAAATGCTCAGTAAATGTTTACTCTGGTGAGATGGAAAGCAGGAGACAGATGTGGAGTCATCCCCTCCACACACCCCCAGCGTCTGCTTTGTGGATACTTCCTCCTCCGGCCCTTCTGACCCCGCCCTGTCCTGCGTTGGGCAGAGTGTCCTCGGTGGGCTGGAAAACCCCAGTCAGGGAGCCCCGAGGAGGGTCCAACAGAGGTTTTCAGTTTCTGTTACTGCACATGACGTGTGGGGCTGCTGGGTGGGGCGAGGGACCGCCTGTTCTAGAGGGGCCCAGGCAGGAGCAGGTGGGCCAGCCAGGGCGAGTACCCGGAAGCGGTGGCTGTGTTCATCCACCAGGGGTTGGCTTGGCTGGAATACAGCAGTCGGCTGAGATTGTGCAAACAGGTCATTGTGCAAACACCTCCCTGTGTGTGACCTCGATTGTGCAAACAGGTGTTTACTGGAGGCTGCCTGGCTTGGACTGCCAGCTTACAAAAAGCCCGAGCTGTTGACTCAGAAAGAAACCAGAATCTCAATACTCATCCTTCCTTGAACACACCCCAAACTCTCTGCTTGCCTGCACAGGTTGTTCTCTCTGCCTGGGGTGCTCCCCTCTGCCTCCATCTCTGCTTGTTGAATTTCCATCCGTTCGTTCTTCAAGGATCAGAGAAAACACTCAGTCTTTCTCCAGAAACTTCCCCCCATGTGTATAATTCAGGCATTCGATATACCTCTAAAGTCACTGATTATGTTTTGCCTTATGGCTCTTTCTAGACAGTGAGCTCCCTGGGGCCAAGGGCCTTTCCTAATTCTCCCTGAGGCCTGGAGAGGGAAAGTGACCTACCCCCTGTCACAAGCCAGCTTGCAGCAGAGGTGGGCTCTAAATCAGGTCTCTGCTCTTGCTGTCATAATCCCCTGCCTTCCTCCCCCACCTCTGAGCCTGGATCTTCACTCCAGCCCCTGGGTTGAGGTGGGACCCCAGCTAGAACTTGAGGGATGGGTTGGATTTGTACAGAGGAAGAAAGGAAGAGCAAAAGTGTGGAGGCTGGGAGGGGAAGAGTGTGTATGGAGGCCATGAAAGAGGTAGAAGGAGGAAGCCCAGGCTTGGGAATGGCAGCGTGGGGGTAGGTAGGGCCAGGCCTGCATGCTAGACCCAGAGATGATATTGACCTTGCACGACCTTGGATAGCACCTCCTAGCCCTGCCTCTCAGATTCTCATCTACCCTTGGTACTCCACAGATATCCCAAACTAAACAGGCCCCCAACTGAATTCCTCCACGTTTTCTCCTGAAAACCTGCTTTTCTGTCCTGGTGAGTGGCATCTGGAAGCCTGGACTTGACCTGGACTTGACCTGGACTTCTCTATGCCCCCGATGCCCCTCATCCTGCCTGTCAACCCTCCCTGTGGATTTTGCCCCTTTTCTCCTACCTCACTGCCATCTCAGGAGTCAGGCCACCACTGGTGCTCCTTGGGGTGACCCCAGAGCCCTCCTCCTGGTCCCCTGACTTTGTCCCTGGCATACCACCCTTGCTCAACTCAGCTGAAGAGCTTCTTCTGAAACACAAGCCCTAGCGAGTCACCGTCCAACTGAAAACCTTCCGCTGTTTCCTTGCTGCCCATGGGATAGAGTTCCAAGTCTTCCTCTCGGCCTCGAGGCCCTCAAAGCAGCCCCCGATCCTCCTCGACGCTGGGGCCTCCTCTCCCTGCTCCCTTTCCCAGCCTTGTCTTCCCCTTCATTCCAGCCATTCCATTTACCATCGCGGTCCAATCCCATATGTGCTCTTTCTTC